ATATCGTGACTGAAAAAATTGCATTTTATCACTGAATTAATTGCATTTCATAACTAAATAAACTTTACCAAGTAACCAAAAAATCCAATTATTCTTCAGTCAAATTCAACAAGGTAATCAATGAAAATTGAAAAAAAATAATATGAGGAAAATATACAACAAACATTCCAATTTATATAAATATATGTATCAGACAACAATCACTGGCAGTACACACATATTTAACTACAAGAATGATTTGAACACAATTGGCCATTTCAGAATCTAATGCCTGCTGGGTTATATATATTTTTTTTTTAAAGCGTACACCAAAACATTACGGTCAGTCAAAAACGTCAAAAAAATTGGAAATTCAACGAATGACGTGACATTATCTCTATTTTGGTGTACGAAGAATAGAATTACCAATAATCCTTTAGATTCTGAAACAGCGTATTGGAAAATTAAACTGGAAATCAAGATTCTTTAAATGCCTGTAGGCAGTCATCAAGAGTAACATCATGTCTCTGTTTTGATATTTAGTAATTATCCATAAAGAATATGAATATTGGGTAAAAAAAAATCTCTTCCACTTTGGTGCACCTTTTATCATTACTATGACAAAACGATTCATGCATAAAAATCACATGTTTTGCATAAGGCACATAGAATAAAACGGAAGACTATGATTAACATGGGAATCATTTGAGCACTTTTCAATAAGTCTTGCCATGAATCTAAAATTTCTCTCACAAACTAATTATTATAAGTTTATCTTCTTTAAAGGAAGTTCATATAGTATTGGCTCCCTGCTTGAGTTTAACATTTGTGTGCTTCCTTTATATATCTTGACAATCAATTGACATTTGAATTTTTTTAAACATATTTGAACCAGAAATCACTTTGGTCACATTAAAAAGCACATTAAATTGTTTAAAACAGGTCAATGATTGAAGGTAGGATCCTTTATTATGTCTGTTTGATACCTACCTCTTTAGACCAGAAATATAGATTCCAACACTGCATCAAGTACTAGTGTGTTACGATATTTCTCCACTCGAGACAGTTAAATTTTAATATTTATAGTGTGAGGCTTGCAGAGCTTTTTAAATAATTAAAATTTAACTGTTGAGAGTGGAGAAATATCGTAATACATGAGTAATGGTGGTGGAATCTGTTTCTCTAATGATTTTTATCCTTCCTTTTCAAAAATTTGCAGAAAGTTGTGTTCTTTATATGTGACGTCATCAGGCATGGTCGCCTTTTTTCATGACGTCACAATAGGAAATTCAGAAGAAACCAAGAAAAGTTGACGTCATAATTAAATATCGACCAATTATTTGCCGTTAACAGATATTTCACTATTGAGGAGAACAATTTTTTCACAATCGATTGGGAAATGTGAAAATAGTGAAAAAATTAGAGAAATTAGGATACCTTGTCATGAAATTTCTTATTTTTACAATTAGGGTTTGAAAGCCTGGCTCACTGTGCTTATCAAGGGTAATATTGGACTCATTTCCAACAGTCATAGCAATCATAATTAAAGTGTCTCTTGAATTTATGCAGAATTTTTTTCATTATGTTATGTCTCTGTCAAAGAAAACAAGGATCATGTTGATATGCAATTGTAATCATTTTAAATTTATATTATATATAACAATAAGTCATAAATTATAATAATAATAAAAAACATTTAGTAAAAGCTGCTACTATGCTCCTTCAAAATTTATTTGCATTTGCAATGTTTCATTATATCAAGCATGCAACATGTATATCACATTTCTGCCATCTTGTTATTATTTCCTCTCCCATTCAAGACTTAAAACACAACATTATAACTAGCATTAGGCACTATTCTATTACAAGGAACATCAGTAAGGTGGCCTTTGGAAGCCTGTAAATAAAAAAGAAAGAACTGATTTTAGAGATCATCTGGTAAGAAAGGAGTGTTATTATCGATTTTAACCATTTAACATTTTGTAAAAAATAAAAAAATGAACAGTTTTCATGATTTTGTAAAAAAAAAGGAAAGAAAAACAGTCTTAAAGTTAATGCAATAAAATATCTGTACTTCAATATTCAATAGGTCAAAAGGTGTTTTTCTTTTTCTTTTAATTCGTTTCAGTTTTGCTTGCAATCTCATAATATCTAAATTATATTTTGAAATGACTATATGTGACTACACTTATAACCAAAGTAATATATACATCATGTATATATATATTATATCCTTTATTTATAAATCTCATTCTGATGATCCCTAAACACAGATTTTCCTTTTTCAAGTCTACAATTTGAACAGAGTTGCCTCCCTTATAGAAAAATCAAGGTGTAAGGCCATAAAAAAGAATATGTTTGTTTGCCATAACCCTACCTACCCAGAAAATAGCTGCCTATTCAAAATCTTTCATTGTCCTGATGTGGAAAAGTTTTCTTTTAATCAGATAGGCAGGAAGACTAAAAATCATCTGACTCTTCAATTTCTTTTTGCAGAAAAAAGAAAAAGAAAATGCCTACCTACCTACCCACTGTCTCTACCTTTCGATAGGGTTTGGGCAAATCAAAATATTTTTAAGTGCGGCCTTAACTTTTCCTGCAGTTTAAACAATCAAATAAACAGTTAACACAGAGATATGTCTCGCCTTTTTGTAATTTTGATAATGCAAATGTTGAAATTAAGATAGCAATACTATAGCATGTAAGTTATGCAAATATTCAAAGTCGATGTACACAATCTCCATGGATATGAGATATGCCAATGCTTATACAACTGCATACCAAATACCATTGACTTATTATAAGTAGTTCCCTTTAAACCAAAATAAACACAAACATTAACTTGTTAACTATGTAAAAGCTTCAAAGTCAATGAACCATGATGAGGGGATTGGGCTATATAATCTCCATAGAAACGATACTTGCGAATGCCAATACATTTGCATACCAAATATCATTTACTTAACATTAGCAGTTCATCTTAAACTGATCTAATAACAAACTAATACATGTATACTAAGCAAAAGTTTCAAAGTCAATAGACCATGACTGAAGGCGCTAGGCCAAATATTCGCCATGGAAATGAGATGTTCTAATGCTTATACAACTGAATACCAATTTACATTGACCTACCACTAATGGTTCCCCTTGAACTGAACTAATCACAAACTAATACATGTAAACTAAGCAAAATTTTCAAAGTCAATAGACCATGACTAAGGGGGCAAAGCCTAATAATCTCCATGGAAATGAGATATTCCAATGCTTATACAACTGCTTACCAAATATTATTGACCTACCACTAGTGTTTCCCCATAAACTGATCTAATCACAAACTAATACATGTAAACTAAGCAAAAGTTTCAAGTCAATAGACCATGACTGAGGGGGCAGGGCCAACTAATCTCCATGGAAATGAGATGTGCCAATGCTTATACAACTGCATACCAAATTTCATTGACCTACCATTTGTGGTTCACCATAACCACCATAAACTAGACCTAATCACAAACTAATACATTGTTGACGCCACTGCCAGAAACAACATACCTATGTGACTATGTCTCGCTTTTTGACTCCGTCAAGGCGAGACAAAAAGTATGTGAATGAGCATAGAGTCTTGCATGATTCTAGTCAGAAATGGTACAATAATTCAATTAAACACATTATACTTCACATGCAGTTTTCATGTAAAAATCACATTATTTTTCATTTAACAAATTTATTGATTTTATCACAGTTAAAGGATTTTTTGGCAGTTATCTCGTACATGTACTAACTAATTATGATAAAAATACCAATATACAACAAGTACTGTGAATAGTTTCTTTGTTGTTAGCTATGGATTTTATGGATTTCTTAAGAAAATTAGAAAGCAAATATATGATAATTTGCAATTCAATATAGTATGTGAAAAATGCAAAATTTGGACATTATGCAATAGGCAACTCTGTATATATGTGAATTAAATGCACTGATTATCTAATACATGCACATGCAAAAAAAGTGACCAATTATATATTATAGTCACTGAGGCATAATTTTGTATAATAAAGTTAAACAAGCAAGGCGTTAAACTGTTGTAATTTTCTAAAGAACCTTTTATTGAAATTTTGTAAGCTATTCCTTGTCAATACTTCATCAAGGAAAAATGTCTGTTTAGAATTTTATAATTAATCTAAGAACTTCCTGTTTGGTCATGATTCGAAGTTAATGAAGGATCTATTGAAAGCATCTTTTTTAGTCTAAAAGCATTTGATGTAATACCTTTAAGGGCAAGATCAATTGATCAAACAGAAATATTCCTAAGCATTTGTAAGACCATAGCATTTATGGGTGATTGATATTAAATATATATTTATGCAAGCTGATTTTAAGTAGCTTTCAACAATGTTGTCCTCTGCTTTTCTTATCAGAAAATTCCTTGGGCCTTTTTCTATAAATGTTTCCAAACATTATTCAACTGCAGGATTCATTATACAATGTACTATATACTGAAACATTTGATATGAAAAAGTATTGGGCTAGAGTACATATGGAAGGAATTGACATAGAAACAAGGCTGATGTCAATTGGATTATGTTTCAAATTTTCCCATCTTTCATGAGATTTGTCTACCGTTATTAACCCAAAAAATAAAAATTTGAATTGTGTTTGAATAAATAGTATGAATTTCTATTGAATTTGTACAAGCACTCTTACAAATCGCCCTCTGTTTAATAAGGGTAAAGTAACTTTAAAATATGCCTATACAAAAATCTAAATAGTGTATGGTATTTTCAAAGGTATTAGGGAATAAAGTAGTTTGAAAGTTTCACATGCATCGTGATAATGATAAGTGGGAAAATTTTATTTATAAGTTTTTTTATCTGTGACCTTTCAAAAAAAACTATGATAAAATCTATCCAAACTTTTAAAGAAACCAACTGTTTTTTGCAATTATGTCTATAAAATTTCTTAACCACTTCATTATCATGTATACAAACCTACATTAGACAGTATTTTGACCAAGATTTACTCACCGCCTGGATTATAGCCTGCTGCAGGAGGTCCTATTAATATAAAAAAATATGAGTGAGATTTATAATTCTGATAAAGGGCGATGAATCATACTTCTACCTGTCTGAGTGGAAATTTATTTTTGATTGATAATGTTTAATGTAAAAATAATCTCAATTGAATTTTATCAGACTGATTTTATACTTCTCTAAAAACTTTCCTCTAGGACGAACAAAATGATACAAGAACTGAGAGTGAATTCACAACAGGATTTACGCTGCCCAAAAATACCTAAGTAATGTTCTACAAGTGTTTAAAGTTTCATCAATAACCTTTTTGCCTTTTAGAACCAGTTGCACTAACGAGAGACCACATATTGCAATATTGAACTAATCAAGTTGGATTAAATCCCTTAAGCATGTAGATTTTACTTCTTTATGCAGATCCTCAGGTATTACCCTTTATTCAATATCCATCCAGATATTAAAGAGAAATTGTGCTTACGAGACACTATTACCAAATATTGCAATATTAATGTAAGTATATTTGATTATTTACATTTTGGACCAGGATTGTACATTCTAAGGTAGTCTTCTACAACTGTGTAAAGTTTCACCAATATCTGTCCTTTTGTTAAGGAGGAGATTGCAAGGAACATGGACAGAGAGACAGATATTCCTATAAAATTTTCCTTCCCCCACCCCAACTGTATAAAAATACAAATAAAAGAAAATCTCATCTGGGACTTTAAAAAATATAAAATAAGTTTGCTTGCATCAATTTTTTTAAGAAACAAACAGTTCTTCATGCTTATTTCTGCATAATTTCTGAACTCTTTCATTTTGATGTATACACACATGACACAAATAAAACTGAACCTTTCTTCAACAGACAGTATGTTGACGTAGATAAACTTACCTCCTGGATTATAGCCTGCTGGAGGAGGTGCTGTAATCATATAAAAAAGTATGAAAATCTACATAATTTCATTTATACTCTAATTTATTGAGGCAGAAATATATACTGATCTTTGAGTCTGTTAAAAAAAACACAATTCAGGAAAAAACATTTTACCCTCCTAACAAAAATATTATCTTTTTATACTCATGTTCTCATCTTAAAATTTTTGGATAAAAAAAGTGTTCAAGTTCTATACCACAGATGATTTAGAGTGAGTGACCCATATTCACCGCATAATTCATACATTCTCACTTACATCCGACCTACATTCGAATATTAGGAACTTTTTATGTAGGTTTCAGAAATTTAACTATATGAAAAAAATGTTTGATAAAGGAATCATCTTCAAAACATTGGTTAAATGTTCTGAAAACAAACGCAACTCAAGAGAAAATCAAGTTGTTCGTGTACCATGGGGGACACATTTTTGCCGCAATGTATGATATGACCATCCTCATTATCCTGGTATATTATAAAAACGAATGTTTGCAATAACATGAATTAGCTTGAGTGATCATTCCTATACATTTTTTCTCACAAGTATTTTCATTAAGACTGCGCATGATTGCCATCTAAATCTTACAATCTAATTGCCAATATCGTGTAAAAACACCTGAGTATTTCTTTATATGTGCGAATAACCTTGGAAATGGGGTAAAGATGAATATCAACAGTTCGAACATTACAAACAGCCTTTACCATCTTTTTAGGCAAGTATTGGGTAAATGCACAAAAAATTTACAGAAGAAATAGCAAAACGGCGAAAAATGTGTCCAAGGCGAATATGTGCCACCCACTATATACATAGTAATCTTTTTCAATTAGTGGTTTTCATTTAGATATTCCACAAGATCTAAGTATTGGCAACAGATTTTGAGTAGTTTCTGTTGGCTTTTTTAAAAATGTAACTCAATGAATTCATAGCTTGACAGTTTTGCCCCTCCAAATGGTCATGTGCCTGTTCAGGTTGAGAATCTCATCTACTGTTGTATTATTTCATAATTTGATAGATTTTGTTATTTGGAGTGTTTGGTGTTGATGGCAGATGCTTTAGATTCTGTTGGAGGGGAGTGGGTACAGTTTCCCATTATATTCTGATTTAATATGATTTTGAGATATGTTGTAAATCAAGATAAGATCTCTGATATTTCATGAAAAGAAGTTCCTGTGCTTGTTTGCTATGAAAAAGAGGTATAAAATTGGAATTTTGGTTATTTCTTAGAAATTTTTACACAATTTTTAAGCTGTTCCAAAACTGGTATTTTTATCAATAAAACTGTCAAGTTGCTTTTATCTAAAAGATCTTATAAAATCAAATAGCAAAAAATTCCAATGAACATGATGAAACAAATATTTGTCATCTGTTGCATTAAAATATGACGAAACTTTTGTTATGAAAATCATTTTCCATGGGTAATTTTGCAATTACTTAGTTTTCACATATTTAACATTTAATGTTTTTATAGTTAACAGTGTGACAAAACTGTTGCATGCAAAATATCTAACATCACAAGTAAATAACTTATGTTAATCCTGAAACCTGAATAAACGGACAGACTTTCCAAACCTGCACTTTTTCATAGTCCCATAGCCGGTCCGTTTATACTAGTTTTACTGCATAAGGTCATCGTCATAAACAAATGATTAAAAAGATATTGAACATTCATTGAACACTCATTGTCACCTTAATAGTTATTTCTCCTCAAACTGTATCTTCAACTCCCCTGAATTTTTTAACTTTTTTACTTGTATAAGACTTTGTTGCCCTTTAACTATCTTTTTGTCATTGGGTTGCTGTCCCATTGTATACCACACATATTCTTTTATTCATAAACCAAGAGTGCTACTTGTCAATTTGTATGTCATTTGGTCTCTGGTGGAGAGTTGTCTCATTGCCAATCATACCAAATCTTCTAATTTTTATGTATACTGAAATGTGTCGCCTTTTAACTGATCATGATTAAATCTATGTTGAAAGTATTTCAAATAGAGGTTTTACTAAAAGAATAACATAAACTTATTATTATCAATGATCCATGTACATTGAGACAAGGTCAGATGAATCCTGTCAGATGGACATGTGCAGCTTGCAATTATTCAATTCACGAAATACAGTACCGGTATATACATGTATAAACCTATTGATTATAGTATCTCAGAAATGTGCCTTACTACAAAGACTTGAACATTAACTTAAGAATCAAAAATGTGGATTATGTCCACATGTGTACACAGATGATGCCCCCGCTTGCATATCATATAGTTACAAAGGGACATAACTGAAGAACGGTAAAAGTGACGCTACCCAAATTTGTTCTTGATCTGAGTTTTGTGGTAATAAGCATTTTGTGTAAGTCTCATAACATTTGGTTGAGGCTAACTTAAGTAGAGAACAGAAACGAAAAATTCAGCAATTTTTCTATTTGTAAACACGCATAACTCTAGATAGGTTGTGTATAAGTTTTATAACATTTGGTTGAGACTACTAAAGTTAGAGAACGGAAACGAAAAATTCAGCAATTTTTTTTATTATAAAGGGACATAACTCAAGAATGGTAAAAGTGACGCCACCAAATTTCGTACTTAATCTGTATTATGTAGTAATAAGCATTGTGTATAAGTTTCATAACATTTTGTTGAGGCAAACTAAAGTTAGAGAACGGAAACAATATTTGTACTCGATCTTCGTTTTGTGGTAATGAGTATTGTGTATAGGTTTCATAATGTTTGGTTAGGGCAAACTTAAGTTACAGAATGGAAACAAAAAATTTAGCAATTTTTCGTTTTATAAAGAGGCATAACTCAATAATGGTTAAAGTGACACTACCCAAATTCAACTTGATCTGTGTTTTATCAGTGGAAGGCAAAATTAAACATTGCATTGTATAAAGCATTGATTGTAGTAGATTTAACTATAATCATGGACAAAGGAAGATAACTCCAATTTTAAAATATACTTGAATAATGATATTGATATTTTTGGAAAAAAAATGAAAAAATTTAGCAATTTTTCCATTTGTAAAGGGGCATAACTCTAGAACAGTAAAAGTGACGCCCCAAAAATTCACACTTTATCTGCGTATTGTGGTAATAAGCATTGTGTATAAGTTTAATAACATTTGGATGAGGCAAACTTAAGTTAGAGAACGGAAATGAAAAATTTTGCAATTTTTCCATTTATAAAGGGGCATAACTCTAGAACGGTTAAAGTGACGCCACCAAAATTCAAACTTGATCTGTGTTTTGTGGTAATAAACATTGTGTATAAGTTTGATAACATTTGGTTGAGGCTAAGTTAAGTTAGAGAACGGAAACGAAAAATTTAGCAATTTTTCCATTTGTAAAGGGGCATAACTCTAGAACAGTTAAAGTGACGCCACCAAAATTCAAACTTGATCTGTGTTTTGTGGTAATAAGCATTGTGTATAAGTTTCATAACATTTGGTTGAGGCAAACTAAAGTTAGAGAACGGAAACCAATTTTGGGACATACGGACGGACGGACGGATAAGGGTAAAACTTAATACCCCCTCCGCTACGGCGGGGCATAAAAAAATTAATGCAGTGTTCCAGCTAGGTCCTTTTCACAGGGCGGTCCGCCCGCCCTTTCCCGAGTGCCGCCCTGTGCCCTTTTTACAGTTTGCAGGGCGCCTTGCCTTTTTTGAAGATTGATTGGTATATTATTTTGTTCGTATTGATATGATCAGCCAATTACTAAAATTTACCTGGCGACAAGTATATGACTTTGTTTACGACCCCAAGCTAATCAACGGTTACAACAGGTGTCATAATCTGTTGTTATAGGTAATCCGTTTATCGGATGGGTCATTTAATGATCATCAACATTAATTCATTCAAATAGAATCGGTCAGTCGGCATTTGTCTTTGAACTTGAAGAAATGTTCATACAACTTGGGCACAATTAGCAATGTTTACCGTAGTTTCATGGAGAAAAAGTAATTGACAGAAAGTCGAAAACCATAATCAACTCGTTAAAAACATTGCTCTTATTGTTTTCCGTGAAATAAATAGCAAATTAAGACGTATTTTTCATTGACTTCCTTCATTTTTTATAAGAAAATAACAAAATAGGCCACCATATTGTTGATCGTATTTACATCTTCTACGTACTGTTTATTATCCTCCAAAGAAGGAGCACACCCAAATAAAGAAAGATAACTCAATCTTATTTTTTCCTAGCATTGAGTAACCTACTAAGATATTATAAAATATGTCTTCATACTTCTGGCTTTAGAATTTATATGTTTAGGTGTTTTGAGTTATGGGAAAAGTTAAAGAGGGTCTTAGTAGCAGGATTGGTAGGGTGCCTTGGTCATCTTTTTCTGTATTTTTTATTTTCAATCCAAATTTTCACTGTTCACTATATCCTAACATTGTGCATTTACAGCTGTTTTGTGCTGTATTGCCATTAAGCACAGAGAAGGTAGAAAGGTGAAACTTGTAAAGTGTGTCAGACCATAGAAACAGAATGAAGCAGGACATTTTTCAAAAAATACTGCATATAAAGCTTAACTGTGCCAAGCAATGATTTAAAACTTGTGTCAAAATCTGCTTGATAAGTTTTCATTCTAAAAAGTAGAAAGATAGTTTTTTCTCTGGGCTAATGATGTTGTTCTTGTATATTTATAACCAGTGATTCAATGAACAAACAATGTTTGATTATAATCTTTATTAAAACATGCCCTTTTCATATTATCATATCACACGTTAAATGCCCTTTTTCAGGATTGGCACCCTGCCCTTTTGAAATCCTAGCTGGAACACTGTAATGTCAAGATCAGATGAACCTGACAAGAAGCTTAAGGACATGAAAACTTTACAATCTTTCTATACACCAAAAACAGTTGTCATATTGCCTAGAGTACATGAAAAATCATGAAAACTAAACATTGACCAGTGAACCTTTAAGTGAGGTCAATGCCAAATAAACTCTGCCACACAGACATGTACACTTAACAATCATTCCATACACCAAATATAGTTGACCTATTGCTGACCTATTGCTAATAGTACAACAGTACCTGACATATGGATATGGATTTGACCATGAAAACTGAGGGTTGACCTGGTTGATAACTGATCCATGAAGTCTAGGTCAGATGAATCAAGCAAGGACCCCATAAACCACATATAGCTATCCTATTACATATGATAAGTGAAAAATTCATGTGATCTGAACCATGAAAACGGAGATATGACAGATGGAAACTTCAGAACATAAGGCAACTGAATATGTAGTATAAAGTATCCATGTCATTTACTTTCTGAAATATAAAGATTATACAAATAATTTATGCTGACACATCCAATTCTGCCAGATAAGCATGTCTATGTCTAAATTTCTGTGACTTTCATCAAAGGTGAGACAAAAACATATAAAAACTTACGTTGAAAGCCCTGCTGAGGATAACCTCCAGCTGCTGGGTAGGCTGGGTTTGGAGCTTGTGGATAAGCTCCTCCTGCTGGGTAACCACTAGGTGGTGGGGCATAGCCTCCTGGTGGTTGAGCAAACCCTCCTGGAGGTGGAGCATACCCACCAGCTGGCATACCTCCTGGATAACCTTGTGCTGGTGGTGGTACTGATCCTGTTGGATAACCTTGTGCAGGTGGTGGTACTGCTCCTGTAGGATAACCTCCAGCTGGGAATCCAGGTTGTGCAGGATAGCCTCCTCCATGATGACCTTTACCCTAGAAAAATTATAGAAAGTATAGAGAAAAATCTTTTCATTTATATTTAGTTATGTGGGTAAATATCAGACTAAATATGTATATGCAATAGGCCCAATTCCTAGATTTATTACTGAAAGCAGCAAATTTTCACTTTTATCTTTATATAATAGACATTACAGTGTAATTTGTTAACAGGTGACACTAGTGGATCAGGATATGCTTATCATTCTTGAACACCCCAGTTGACCCTAGGTTTTTGATGGGGTTGTTGTTGCACAATATTAAGTTTTGTTGACTATTGTTGTTGGGGAGGGGAGCAAGAGGGGGTCCATTAACAGGTCAACAATTTTTTATTTTGCTCAAAACAGATAACAATAAATTTAAAATACTGATAACCGATAACAGCAATTAAAATGATCCTAAATGAAAAAAACAGAAAACATTGAATTCAAAAATCAAAAAACAGTTAACAGGGGTCACTTTTTTTTATAATAACAGTTATCAACAACATTAATTTTAAGAAAAACAGATAACAGCTAATTAGTCAATAGCAGTAGCCCTTTTAGTAGTGCATTTAGAAAACTGTATGTATATATGTTTTCAAAACAAAGTTCTTAGATAATTTCAGATATTTTTAATTCCATATGTAAGCTTTTTCTTACGATAAAATAATCAATCTTTTTCATTTTTCTAGCATGCTCGTAACCATTCAATTAAACATTTAAGCACTGCCTACTTTTTCAAAATTTTTGACACAGAACTTGTTTCCAATCAATGTTTATCACCTACTGGTTTAATAAAATAATTTAGTGTTAAAGTTTTAGTTTTTTTATTGCTTTCGTTAACTTTGTTTTATTTCTTTATTCCTACTTATATACATGTCCTTGGTGTTTTTTTTTTTTATGTAATTTGATTTTAAATTTTACTGTATTCATGAGTTGCATATATTGTAGATCATACATACATGTTATGTATATGTATATAATATATAGAATTTTTATAATTTTATGTAAAGTGTGAAGTAAATAAAAAACAAATGTTTAAGAATAATGAATTTTAAGTTACAATTGTACATGTACTTTTACCTTAATAGAAAAACAAAGGATATGGGGTATTCATCCATGACACAAAATCAGTACATGCACAGCAAAAAACACTAAAAAGCAAAGGAACAGCACTTTTATTGCTGTTCTTCATCTCAAAGTCACAGTGAGCTTTCATTGCCAGAGTAAAGATGAAAGATTATTTAAACCTTTACTGAGATGTAAATCTGATAAAAACAAAGAAAACATATAGAGGAAATTTATAATAAAGCTTATACCGGTAATCGTCAAACATGTTTTCAGGCAATTTCCATACTTACTGGAGCCAATACTCCATGATGAAGTTTAATTTTGTTCTAAAAATAGTCAAGCATATATATTGTACATAGATGCATATGTACATAATCAGACGAAAGTTTATTTTGTCTATGCAGAAGTGCTTTCAACAACAAACAAGAGGCTTTCAAGAGCCCGAATAGCTCACCTTTAATTTTTTGCTTAAATCTTTCATCAATGATTATTTTTGCTTTTCAATATATATTAATGAGTGGCTTAAAAATGACATTTAAATGTTCTTTGTATCTGTCATATTTTCTTCAAAAGCAAAAAATTGCAATTTACCCCTATGTTCCATTTTAGCATAGTGGTTATGTCTCTTGACGTATAAGGAAATAAAATACAAAATTTATACTAGATACTCTGAAACTCAATCAGCCCAAGTTTGGCTGAAATTGAGTCAGCAGTTTCAAAGGAGAAGATTTTTTAAAGTAAGCAAACTAGAACAAATTGTGAAAAATTGTCTTTAAAGGAAAATAACTCCTTAAGGGGTCAATTGACAATTTTGGTCATAAAACTTATTTGTAGATCTTACTTTGCTGAACATTTTTCCTTAAAATTACCAATTTAGTGGCAGCCACCCAACAATGGGTTGTTAGATTCATCTAAAAATTTCAGGGCTGATAGAACTTGACCTAATGAACATTTCTACCCAAGTCAGATTTGCTCTAAATGCTATTTGTTTTTTGAGATATAAACAAAAAACTGCATTTTACCCCTATGTTCTATTTCTAGCCATGGCGGCTATGTTTTTTGACGAAACACAAAATAAAACACAAACTTTATTCTAGATACCCTAAGGATCATTCAGCTTAAGTTTGGTTGGAATTGGTGTAGTAGTTTTAGAGGAGACGATCTTTGAAATAGTTTAAACCGGACGGACGACGGACACCAAGTGATGGCAAAAGCTCACATTTCTTTTTCAAGGAAAGGTGAGCTAAAAAATGGGCTTAACACAGGTCAAATTCCAGTTAACTTGAAAATACTAAAACAAACATTTTTATCTGAGAGTTTTAAAAGAAACAACCTTTTTAAGCATTATAAAAATATTTTCTCAAAGTACATTTGAAGGCCCTTTTTATTGTATCTCACAGATACATATATATACACCAACATTGAAACACTGAAACATAAACAAACTACATATACTACATTTTTTGCTAATTTTCTTATACCTTTTTCATCATCTTTCTCTGCTTTTTCATCATTTTCCTCTGATCTTTTGGAAGATGTTTATAACTTTCATCATCAGAGCTAGATGAACTTGAACTACTACTTGAACTTGATTTGTGCCCATGATGGTGTTTTTTATGTTTTCCCATTGTTATCTATCTGTCTACCTTGATATCTGTAAAATATGAAACATTTGAATGTTTGGTTCTTTTATGTATTTCAATCATAATAATCATCTCTAATATAAAATTATTTGTCACTTGTGTTTTTCTGCATATATATAAATTTCATATTTCAGTAAAATTGACTTTCATAAATAACACACTCAAAACCAGAATTATTTGCAGCTTTGATCTAGTTAATTACTTATCGCAAACTTTAGAAATTCATGGTAAAAAGACTTCAGAAGTTAAACAAATGAAACAGATCGATATCTGGACTGTCACTTATCACTTGATCTTATTTTGTGGTCCATTTCTAAGAAATCATAACATTGCTTCAAACTTCCAATTCTCTTAAGGTTGTGGCCTGTTTATCTATTTTTTGCATGAAAAGATATTTTTCATGTCACACTTCTAAGAATGTGATACAAAAAAGTGATATGAAAAATGTGTTAATTTAACTGGCTTATCCAGCATCTTAAGACCATATTGAGACATTTCCATTGTCTATTTGTCAGGTCATTGATGACTTTCAAAGATTAAGACAACGAAGATATGTGATTTCTTCAAAAATATACAGAACAATCACACTTTTCATGTGAATATCTTTTTTTTAAATTTTATTACATTCTGATGTCTGATGTTAAAGTTTAACACTGAAAAATGATATATGACATGATACTGGTGTGACAGTGCAAAAGACTAAATCAACTATTCACATATTTTTAAATTAACACAATAAGAATGTTTACCATAAGAGAAATAGATTTAACTACTCTTGAGAATTGGATATTGTTTGATATCAACTCTCGTTAAATAATTTAAATAGTAATAATAAAATCGCACAAGGCTTGTTTATTATTATATTGAAAATAAATGACTCAAGTTGATATAAAGGGATATCCCATTCTCTCTCGTTATGAAACCTATAAATCTATAGAATTCAGTTCATACACCTGAACACAAATGCAGAGCCTACAACAGTATCATGAGTATATATATCTTAGTTTCTATTAAATAATTTTTCACAAAAATAATTATCCCACAATTTTCATGATTTTGTTAGTTGGATACAAAAGTTCATATGGTGACCTGATATATACATATGATTTATCATGCATAGAAATTCCTGGACTGCTTCATATATTCTTAGCTATTAGCCAGAGATTTTATAAATAAACAATTATCTTTTGACAAAGTGAATTTGGAAAAAAAAATAATAATTCACAGAACTTTCTGTTTGTAAAAATATTTTGTGGTTGGTTGTCAACAAGGTTAAAGCTACAGGACATAGACATTACTCAAGTCATATTTTATTTCTGTAAAAACTAAGTCTAATTTATATTTATAAGAATAATATGGAAATTTTAAACTGGAAAAAAAATATATTCGAAGTTTTGCTAGATTGGATACTGTCTTTTTATCATGACAAGCATCTACAACCAAGTTTCATATAATTCTATGAAGGTTTGACAACGTTTTAATGTCCGAAACCTTTAACTTGAGACTGTATCTAAATATGCTAAATGTAAACTGCATAAAAATCAAAGTCCATTTATCAGTTAAATACGGAAAAATTAACACATTTATTTTCCAAATTTTGATCTAGATCTGGATGATGTCTTTAAATAAATTATAAAAATCTTCTGTTCAAGTCTCATAAAATTAAATCAAGGTTTGATAAATTAAATGAGGAATGTGTCCATACAATGTATGTCCATGGGACACAGGTGATGGCCCCGCTTTCATATCATATAAAGTTATAAAGAGACATAACTGAAGAACGGTAAAAGTGACTCTACCAAAATTTGTACTTGATCTGAGTTTTGTGGCAATAAGTATTGAGTATAAGTTTCATAACATTTGGTTGAGGCAAACTTAAGTTAAGAGAATTCAGCAATTTTTCCCTTTGGAAAGGGGCATAACTCTAGAACAGTGAAAGTGACACCACCAAAATTCAAACTTGATCTGTATTATGTGGTAATAAGCATTGTGTGTAAGTTTCATAACATTTGGTTGAGGTTAACTAAAGTAAGAGAACGGAAACAAAAAGTTCAGCAATTCTTATTTATGAAATTATCTTCAATTATATAAATATTAAACTGAGAGAAAAACAGGAAGAATATGTACATGTATGTTAAAATTGAGAACGGAAATGAAGTATGCGTCGATCAAAGAGACAATAACCTGACCCGAGGTCACCAATGGGTCTTCAACACTATCAGAAAATCCCACACCCGGAGGTAAGCTTCAACTAACCCTCTAAACAATAATGTATACTAGCTCAGCATTAACACATTTACAATTACTCCTCGTTTTACTAATTAAAAATGATATAATAATTTCTAAATTACATATCATGATCCGAAGCTCAAAGTTTTTTCTTAACTAATAGTCTATATGGATCAATCTATCTTAAAACTTTAAATTATTTGTGAGCTAAGACCCAGTAATTAAATAAGGGTCAAATACATTTTGCGCTCAGTATTTTGGTCATTTTTAAGGACTGGACTAGCAACTGGAAACAACAGTAAAATACAAATGTTTCAGAAAATTTCCCTGATGGGGAATATTTCCTACCTGCACTGGTCAGAGACCAGTTACCATCCCCTGTCATTTTATTCAATAATAGAAGCCTTGGGTACAAACAACAGACTGCTGATATCTTCACACAAATACTTTTAGCTCATTTGTAAAAACTGTTTTGTTTGATCCTACTAAGATATGGAAATGCAGTTTTCTGTAAAATTGAACATGCTGTGGGAAGATACTCATGTGCCCACATGCCATCTTCACTTCATGACAAACTTGATTTTGGAAAACTTACCGTTTTGAGACAAAGCAATATCTAACCTTGCTTTGAAATATTTAATTTCTTTCAAAAGACACATGAAAGAATTTTAAAAGATTTATAAATTTCAAATTTAAAGTTTATCATGTTTATATGTCAGTCAGGGGTATTATTTGTACAAGTTATATTTATTTACTTGAAGGAGTAAGTAATAATATACTTATACATGTTATAGAAGTAAATTTGTTATATTCATATTTTCTTATAAAATTTGAATAAGCTCCCCTTAATTATCTCAAAATATTTACGTGTATAAGTAATTTTTTTTTACAATCCCTAAAATTCTCAAGTTTTGGGATGTAAAAACATGCCTTACACAATTTTTCTCTGGTAAGCTCATAATTTTTTATTAGAGTTCAATGTTTCATCTCAGTAATTCAACAGAGAAACTAATTGCCAAAGATCTTAAGTAATTGCGCAAGGCCTTCAAAAATTGCCCCTTGGAGGCTTGTAAATGAGCAGTATTTTGAAGATAACAGACAAATGACAATGAGATTTTCATCATGTTCATTGTCCATGAAATTACACTTCAATAAATAGTAAAGACATCTGCAAAGGACAGACAATTAAAAATTCTATTAGAGCAAAGAAGTTCTGAGAAATTCAAGAAAAGAAGATAGTATGACTTTTTTACTTGTATAAGTAAAAAAATTTGAATGTCTAAGGGACATAAAAAAGCCATTAACATGATTAAAATAATAAGTAAATAAAATACACTTGTATAAGTATCTTACAATTTTACTTATATAAGTATATTAATATTTACTCCTTCAAGTAAATGAAAATGACTTGTACAAGTAGTACCCCTGACTGTATGTCTTTCGATAAAATGTAAGTGGTTGATTTCAAATGACATACAGTAAACTTTCAGAGCAGGAAGGAGACCTTCCAAAATTAATGGTCAGAATACACCTTATCGCTATTTGTCCGTCATTTCTGAACACCACAAAGGTTCCCATAAAATTTTGACGTCACATTAATAGAAAATGTCTAAAGCCACAAAGGAAAATCATGAATGTCCTGTTTAAATGTAAAATTCTCTCATTTGATGGCAAGATTCAAAAGTGACTGGTTATTGGCATCATACCTACATAAATTCCCGCAAAAATATGCATAGAAGTAAAACTTTTTTAGTTGTAATCTGGTTCTATGCCTAGGCTTTGGGCTAAAAGTGACTTTTAGGTACCCTTTTTATGTTAAAACATAAAAGAAAAATTAATTCCCCAAAGTGTTCCTGATAAAATGTATTAGAGAAAAATATCGAATTTCTGGCAGTTGTTGGTCTTCGTACGAGTAAATTATACCCCTGACAGAATGTGCAAAACATCTTATTGACTTATATATACAAGGATTTGAATAGTAAGAAGTCTTACTATACATTATCCTTGATAGGGGGTCTCATTGGGGGGTTCTGATCCCGGATTCCGCTTACTGTTTTGTCAGATTCCCGTATCCCGCTTACACTATGTACGTAAGCAATTCTCAATTTTTTGTAATTTCCCGTGTCCCGCTAGACTTCATTTCCTGTTTTCACGGCACAATAATTTGACTTTCACGTGTCACGCTTACAAAAAATCGGCAATCCCGCGTCACGCTTAAACCCCAATGAGACCCACTTGATATATCATACATTGTATGTCATATATATAAGAAGGCGTATAAAAATGTTTGAGATGTTCCCCTCGGGTTGTAGTGCATTGCATTGATTGACATGCATGGAAAAAAGAGTAACAATAGACATCTCCACAACAAGTGATTTAAACTGTGGAACTGGGTGGATTAGATAAGACAATTAAACAAACCAAATAAGTAAGAATGTGTAACCCGGAAATCGCTCTCTAACATAGAAGGGAAAAACCCTACTCCTATGTAAACTTCCGGTGTTTATATGTACGTGGTTGAAAATCAGCAGGTTAATGATACATTTTAATTAATAGATAAAAGTAAATGAGCTAAAAGCTTACTACACTAACAAGACTTGACCAACAGTTCATGTGGATAAGGCACTTTCAGTCTAGTTACATAATTTGAGCGTTGAATACCGGTACAAGCCAAATCGTCACCTGGTCGATTCGGCACCTAATACACAGATACATGTACACTACAGGCTACAGATCTTCTTCTTCTTTCAGTTTCCGCACTCCATCATAATATTGATGACTATGTGCCGTGCATGCGTGGGTAGAATTTACAAATAATGAATATATATTTACATCAAAATTTAAATAAAGAAATAATAACTTGTTTTTGATTTTCACTGACACTGTACATATAAGATAAAACTATTTACAAGGTGTTACAATTACATGGTGTAGTATTGGTTGAGAACAGATGTAGGAATCTGTTCTCTGAAGGCTTCAACTGTGGGGGAGCGTCTTTTTACCAAAGAACACCACAGAACACCCAAAATTTACCACAGAACTTCGAAATAATAATACTTCAGACATTATTATCGTGTTATTGTTAATTCTTTTTATAATTTGACATTCATTATTCAAATAAAATTTAATTTTTCTATTTAGGGTCAACTCATTAACGCTACGCCCCCAACTGAATGGCCAATATAAATTGGGATCATACCGAAAACCCCAAGCTATTAAAACTATAATATATTTATATTTGTGACATTTATATTTTAAATACATTTTAATCTTTTTTGTAATTTTAATTCATTTTTGAAAATTTTTAGACACATGAAGTAATTTGTTAAGCTGATATCTAGAGTTGTTCAAACAATTGGCGAATGTGTGACCTATAATGGTTTACTTTTATAAATTTTGACTTGGATGGAGAGTTGTCTCATTGGCACTCATACCACATCTTCTTATATCTACATCAAAGTTTTCTCCATTTATAGAGTTATATATAAAACTTCAAAAAGATATCTAAAGTTGTTGTAGGACAGTAATATTTGAGTTGACTTATAACATATTATAAGTGTGTCTTTTTAATTTTCAATTAAAAGTTCAAGCTCGATGACTGTTTTTGGAATCTTATGTTGTGTGTGTATCTTCTCCAATCATTTAACAATATTTGGGATTTTTACCAAATTTTGTATGCATTTAGAAATCGTTGAACTGAGCATTTACATATATATTCTATATTTTTTAGTCCAAAATTAATGTTGACCATAGCAAGTTCACCGACACAATTAAAGTACCGAAATTTAATTACAAAATGTAGATTAACCAATTTTGACACTTGTGGTAATCACCAATTAACATGTCATTTAAATTATTACACCTGAGACATCAAATACATTTAATTGAATTATCTTATATAATCAGGTGGCAGCTAGAATCTGTAAATATTCAATTATTAATGATATATATTATATTAAATAGAATGTTGAAATGATCTAATTATTGTCAAGTCATTTCAAGAATAAAATTTTTATGATAATAAAAATTCAAGATTAAAATGTGAACCGATGTTCACCATCATTTTAGTTGGAAATTAAAATTATTGTCTTATAGGTTTATTAATTTCACAGAATAAATACTTACATATGAGAAATATTAGCTCTTTCTTAATTTCACGAAAAAATATTGTAAAACAAAAGAGTTATCAACACTTTTTATCGATCAGTTCAATATATTCAAAGCGTATATTGATCAGCGATTGAGAAAACCGTACAGTAATTTTTTTGTTGCTAAAAACTATTTTTTTAAATGTTTATTTTAGATTTTCATTATTACAATACATTAGTTTAGTGTCTCAAAGGTCTCCAAATGTAAACAAAATATGGCAAATAACAAAAAAGTTATGATCATTTTTATCTCATCCAGTCAACAGTCAATCATCATGTCATTGGTGTAACTGGTGGTCAATTATCATGTCATGGGTGTAACCCGAATTAAAGAAATATAAATCGGAATTATCAGATTTGCTATTTATAAAGTAATTTTACTGTTCAGTGGCATATTTCAGTAGTTTTGTTGTAATTTGTGTAGTTCTGTGGTACATTTTGAGTGTTCTGTGGTATTCTGTGGTGTTCTGTGGTATTCTGTGGTGTTCTGTGGTAAAAAGACGCTCCGCAACTGTGGTGCATTGGACAGCAGTAACTGGTAAAAGGTTCCATTGGATGATTGTCCTTGGATAGAATGAAAATTTGTATGAGTCTTTTTTTGCCTGTATGTGCCTGAATGAGTGACTATGAGTGTATTGTCTTGTGCAACTGTCTGATGGTATTAACAAGTTTGTGGGGTATATTGTTACTTGGTGGTGTATGATTTTGAAGAAAAATATAAGTCTTGTTCTTATTCTTCTAAGTTCAAGTGTTGGCCAGTTGAGATGGTTAAGCATGTTTGTCACAGAGCTGGTGTTATGGTATAGATTGCATGTATACCTGGCTGCACGTCTTTGGACCATTTCTATTTGTGATTTTTAAAGGCAGTGCTTTAATGCCTTTCTAGTTGCCGAGTTAATCCTTCCTTCCGCGATATCCAACTTATCTACGTGGGGGGTCATTAGACTCCAAGTAGATCCGGAAATGTTGAATTCTCTCCTCTTCTTATTGCGATATAAAATGTTTTTTGTTTCATTTCATTTACATTGGGAAATAGAGAAACGATCATTGTGTTTTGTTAGTTTTAAAAACTTTTGATATATTAGTATTTTGCATTATAAGCAGTCAACCGATTGACAAACTAGAATTATTTGAATTCCGTGTGGAAAGAGCTCGGGTTAATTTCGAGTGTTATCTGCAATCTAGATGTTTATAAATCATTTCAGTCGTTGATATAATAATTAAAGGTCGACTGAACATGAATTATATTATACAATTTTAAGCGCATTTCTGTTTATGCACGTGAACCCGTCTAACGTTATTTTCGCAGTTATATAAAGTAGCAAATTATCGTTCCTGAATAGGTGGCGCCGTGGTAGCGGATCCTGTTCCTCTACTTCCGGTTTCTGCATTGTGCAACTATTTCAGTTACATTTTTAATTAACGATGCCAAGTACTTGTTGTTGTGTACCTGGATGTCATTTAAGAGGAGGACATGCATTTCCAAATGACTTAAAAAGAAGGAGAAGTTGGATCAACGCCATGACCCATACGCAGATTGGACGAGAACACGATGATATCGTGGAGTCCATCTCAATCAGCTGTTGTTTGCAAGGCACATTTTACTGAAAAAGACTACGTGCAGGAAACTATTCATGGTAAAACTCTATTTTCTTTGTGAAATATATAGTTATATATGTAATCGCCATGCGAATAAACCAAAGTCTGTTTACAACCGCAATTATCGTTTAAGAATAAAAGGGGGTGGGTAATTCAAGACGTCATAATTTTTTGGATTACGATTCAATGTGATCTGTTTAAGATTTTTTGGTGATTGCTACAATTATAATGATTTCTTACAAGAGGTATATCATACTGAGAATTATTTTAGCAGTAATTATGCTAATGTAGTAATGACAGGAATGCATAAGCTATGCCTCATAGACTTTCTTGAAAAATATCAATGACAATGTTAACAGGAACAAAACAATGACATGCTCTCATCTATATTAAAGTTATTTAGGTACAAACAATGTACGTTTGTTGCATAAGTCTTTCATTGTTTGTCCTTTGGATTTACATAACATACATTGAATCAGGCAAACATAGTTTTATCCAGATTGTAATGAATAAATCTAGTTAATATTTCGCCAGGTAGTACAAAGTATACATTGCTAATGGAAGTTCATTTAATTATAATTTCAGGGCACAAACCCACCATACAGAGACTTAAGTCTACTGCAATTCCCAGCCTATTTTCCTGGACCAAGCAAGAGACTGAATCGTCCGCAAAAAGAAAAATCAGGGCAGTTTCCTGTGAAAACAAAAGAACTAAACTTGATGAATATTGTAGTAGAAATCTAGAGGAAAGTTTTGATTGTAAAGTTGGTTTTCCTGAAGAAGTCATTCATACTGCAGAATGGATTTATGACTGTCCACCACCAACTGCCGAGCTAATGTTGAGCTTCACAGATGGAATTACGCAAACACCATCAATGCCTATGTTTTCAGCAGAGAATTTTGAAATGAAGACACGTGACACAGCCATGCATTTTTATACCGGTTTAGAGTTGTATACTAAATTTTTATTTGTTTTGACCACACTTGGTCCAGCAGCACATTGTTTGAGATACATATATTTTCAAATTGATAGGGTGTCAGTTGAAAATCAGTTTTTTTATGACTTTGATGAAATTGAGGCATCATACAACCAACTTTGAACTGTCTAGATTCTAGATTGAATCTAGTGTTAAGAATATTGTGTATACATGGATTGTTTTTATGTCTAAACAGAGGTGTGAGGCTAACACTTGGCCATCTAGTGGTTTAGTCAGGTATTTTTCACCATCCAACTTCAAATTAAAGTTTCCTACGACTTGGATTATTATTGACAGCACAGAATATCCCGTGATAAAACCTAAAGCTCCTAGAGCTCAGGCAACCTTTTCATCAAATAAAAACAGAAACACTGAAAATTCTTGAATGTTCGACACCTGGTGGTTTAGTCAACTATGTCTCTATGTCTTATAGAGCGAATTATTGGACTTGGCAAAACATACAAAATTCTAATAAATCCTATGAATGGAACTGAAACAAAACTTTCATCTGAAATAACATTTAGTTGTTTTATGTTGTGTAATTTTAGAACTTGTATTGTGCCAAAGGATGCATAAATAAAAGTGACGCAATGAATTTTGTTCTGATATATATATATTTACAATTACATGCACATGTAAATTGTAATGCATATAAAAATAAGGAGATGTGGTATGATATTCAGTGAGTTTATCAAACTAAAGTGCATAAGAAATGGGTTTAAGCAGTTACAGGTGTTACTGTCACCGTACAATCTCCAACAATGAGAAAAACTCGTACCCTGTAAAAAATTTCAGAGATCTTACAACTAAGTTTTGTTGTCTCACCTTGACTTTGGTGAATATTTTATATCTGTTGATGTAAATATAAAAAAGAAGATGTGGTATGATTGCCAATGAGACAACTCTCCACACATGCACAAGAGACCAAATGACACAGAAATTAACAGCTATAGGTCACAGTACGGCCTTCAACAATGAGCAAAGCCCATACCGCACAGTCAGCTATAAAAGGCCCAGAAATGACAATGTAAAACAATTCAAACAAGAAAACTAACGGCCTATTTTATGTAAAAAAATGAACAAATATAACAAATATGCAACACTTAAACAAACAACAACCACTGAATTACACTTTTATAGGCTCCTGACTTGGGACAGGCACATACATTGTACATGTACATACAGAATGTGGCGGGCTTAAACATGTTAGCGGGATCCCAACCCTCCCCCTAACCTGGGACAGTGGTGTAACAGTACAATATAAGAAAGAACTATAAAAATCAGTTGAAAGAGGCTAAACTCATCAGATGGATAAATACAAATACAAGTGGACGTGGTCAGGTAGTTGTACATCCAAACAACAAAAAGACACTAAGTACAAATCTGAGAGTACTCGCAGTTACTGACAGCTAGTTCAAAGCCACTAACAACTTATAAAAAAATCTTGCATCTAAGACTAAATTATCAATCCGTAAGCTCCCTTTAGAATTTTATAAATTTTAGATTTTACATTTCTGAGTTATGGGGTTTTATTCATTAAAAAAGGGGGGATTTTCCAGTTTTTGGACAACAACTCAAAAATGCTTTAAGCAGTTCACATGAAACTTTGGTGAATTATTTATAGCTATTGATGTAATCTCCCTATTGATTTTCATAAATTTCAAATATGACATTGAGAAGAAATTGAACTTTATTTGTTTATAGTCTGGCAACAGATTTATTAAGTATTGCACAACAGCACAGTGTATTGCACAACAGCAAGAAATCTTTAATTGAATATAAATTCAATTCATATAACCGATTTCAAGTTCATTGACTACATTTATTCAGAAACTATAATATGTCAAATATTTAATTACAATCCAAATTCAGACCTGTATCAAGCTTGAATATTGTGTCCATTTTTGCCCCAGCTGTTCAGGGTAGTACCTCTGCGGGTGTATCCAGCTGCGCTCAGCAATCAGTTTATTTCTTAATTAAGAACTCCTTTTTTAACGACCGCAAAAAAATTTTTGTGGTCGTATATTGGTATGACGTTGACGTCGTCGTCCGAAGACACATTAGTTTTCGCACTCTAACTTTAGTTTAAGTGAATGGATCTCAATGAAATTTTAAAATAAGGTTCAATACCACAAAAGGAAAGTGGGGATTGATTTTGGGGGTTATGGTACCAACAGTTAAGGAATTAGGGGCCAAAAAGGGGCCAAAAATAAGCATTTTTGTAACTTTCAGACATAACTTGTGTGTAAGTGTATGGATCTCTCTGACATTGTACCACAAGGTTCCATATCACAAAGGGAATGCTGGGATTGATTTTTGGGGGTAATTGCCTCCAAATTTTAGGAATTAGGGGCCAAAAAGGGGCCAAAAACAAGCATTTTTCTAGTTTCATGACAATAACTTGTGTGCAAGTCTATGGATCTCTCTGACATTGTATCACAAGGTTCCATATCACAAAGGGAATGCTGGGATTGAATTTGGGGGTAATCGCCTCCAAATTTTAGGAAAAAGGGGCAAAAAACAAGCATTTTTCTAGTTTCATGGCAATAACTTGTGTGTAAGTGTATGGATCTTTATGAAATTGTACTACAAGGTTCCATATCACAAAGGGAAAGCTGGAATTGAGTTTGGGGGTAATTGCCCAAAAAGTTTAGGAATAAGGGGCCAAAAATAAGCATTTTTCTAGTTTCCAGATAATAACTTGTGTTCAAGTGTATGGATCTCTCTGAAATTTTACTGCAAGGTACCATACCACAAAGGGAATGCTAGGATTGATTTTGGGGGTAATTGCCTCCAAATTTTAGGAATTAGGGGCCAAAAAGGGGCAAAAAACAAGCATTTTTCTAGTTTCATGACAATAACTTGTGTGTAAGTCTATGGATCTCTCTGACATTGTATCACATGGTTCCATATCACAAAGGGAATGCTGGGATTGATTTTGGGGGTAATTGCCTCCAAATTTTAGGAATTAGGGGCCAAAAAGGGGCAAAAAACAAGCATTTTTCTAGTTTCATGGCAATAACTTGTGTGTAAGTGTATGGATCTTTATGAAATTGTACTACAAGGTTCCATATCACAAAGGGAAAGCTGGGTTTGAGTTTGGGGGTAATTGCCCTAAACGTTCAGGAATTTGGGACCAAAAAGGGGCCAAAAAACAAGCATTTTTCTAGTTTCGAGACAATAACATGTGTTCAAGTGTATGGATCTCTCTGAAATTGTACTGCAAGGTACCATACCACAAAGGGAAGGCTGGGATTGAGTTTTGGGGTGATGAATCATAAGGGGGTTCAAAAAATTTGGGGGGGGGATTCTTTTTCCTTTTTTTTCTTTAAAATTTTCCATTTTAAATTGGTTATTTCTGATTTATATATAAAAGCAAATAATAATGATATGGTTTGAATAGGTAAATTAAATTTTTTTAAGTATCTTAGACCACTTTCATTCTGTGTCAGAAACCTATGCTGTGTCAAATATTTAATTACAATCCAAATTCACTTGCCCCAACTGTTCAGGGTTCGACCTCTGCGGTCGTATCAAGCTGCACCCCAGCGGAGCATTTTATTTCATTCATAAATTACTTTATGCTTGGAAATATAATTTTGCTTGGAGTTGAAAGAGTTGACATGTTGCAATGTACATTTACTCTACATAGTTCTATGGTACCAAATCAAAAGTTTATATAAAGAAAGAAGTCAAAGGTTTCCCATCATAGTTTAGTTACATACATTTTTTTTGTACCCGAGGTCGTTGAATATAGATCATTATATAAATAAGGAGATGTGTTATGATTGCCAATGAAAAAACTAAGGATTTTCTTATCCAAGGAATAGATTACCTTAGCCGTATTTGGCACAACTTTTTGGAATTTTGGGTCCTCAATGCTCTTCAACTTTGTACTTGTTTGGCTTTGTTACTATTTTGATCTGAACGTCACTGATGAGTCTTATGTAGACGAAACACACGTCTGGCGTATTAAATTATAATCCTGGTACCTTTGATAACTAATTTGACTATAAACATAGATAAAAAAGGTACAAACTGGACATAATGCACTAGTTCATAAACTAGTGAGAACAATCGCCTTCATATAGTGCTCAGAATATGACATTCATAAAACTTATTCAATATCATTAGAGAACTCTAAATCTTAAATACTGAAAGCCACCTCTGATAAGTACACTGTACTATGCAAGATAATGATATAACTGGACTTAAAATACACACAACCTGTAATTAACTGCCTTTACAGCGCTTTCGTGCTTTGATTGTGATTTTGTATGTGGGTCCCAGATGCAGCTACCATACTCTAGCTTTGGTCTCACAAGTGAGATATAGGCCTTTTCTTTAACTGACTGTGAGCTGACTTTAAGGTTTCTTTTGATAAAATTAAGTTGTTTAGTTGCATTTGCTGTGATGTTATTTATGTGTTTGTTAAATTTTAAATCAGTTTGTATTGTTAAGCCAAGATATTTAGTAGATGTTTCTTGGTGCAAAGTGTGCCCATGTAAGATGTAATCATATGGGAGAGGGGTTTTCTTTGTTGTTACTTGGAGGACTGAACACTTGTCCGGATGGAAGGACATGAGCCAGTCCTCTTCCCACTTTGCTGCTGCTGTTAGGTCTTCTTGTAATTTTTCTGAGTCATGTTTATTTTTTATGGTTTTGTAAATAATGCTGTCATCTGCGAAAAGTCTAAGAGTGCCATGTTTAATATATTCATTCAGGTCGTTTATGTACACCAGGAATAGGATGGGACCTAGTACCGTTCCTTGCGGTACTCCTGATGTGACATGTATTTGTTCAGATTTTGTGCCTTCCAGTAATACCGTTTGTGTGCGAAGTGTGAGAAAGTCTTCTATCCATTTCAATGTTTTGTTGTCGACACCATAGTGTTTAAGTTTATAGAGTAGTCTTTTGTGAGGGACTTTGTCAAATGCTTTGGCAAAGTCCATCACAATTACGTCTGTTTGAATGTTATCATTGCTATAATTTGCCAGTTCCTGTATGAATGATACTAACTGGGTTTCGCAAGATCTTGAGGAGCGAAACCCATGTTGTAGATCGTATAGAATGTTGTTATTTTCTAGATGTGCCATGATGTTACTTGCTAATATGTGCTCCATGATCTTACATAGGATGCATGTTAGGGATATAGGCCTGTAGTTGATAGGATTATGTTTATCTCCCTTTTTGAATACTGGGCAGACGTTGGCATGCTTCCAGTCAGTAGGTATTTTTCCGGTGTTCAGGGATTTTTCGAAGATTAATGTTATTAAAGTCATTTCGGCACCTAACATTATTTTCTTTCTTTTGAGGTAAGGACAAGGATTTGTATAGTACAAAATGTAGTACTATGCAAATCCTTCGTATGTCAGAGGAACATATCTTTTTTATTTTTATTCAACATTTTTGGGAAAAGTTCATCAATTATGCACGCCTTTATAACATCATTTACAAGATAGAGGGGGTCATTTTAAGATGAACCACTAATGTTAAGTCAATGATATTCAGTATGCAAATGTATTGGCATTTGCAAGTTTCATTTCAATGGAGATTATGTAACCCCACCCCCTTATTATGGTTCATTGACTTTGAAACTTTTACATAGTTTACAAGTTTATGTTTGTGTTTAGGTTTGTGTAAAGCTAAGGGAAAAACTTATGAAAAGTCAATGGTATTTGGTTTGCAGTTGTATTAGCATTGGCACATCTCATTTCCATGGAGATTGTTTAGCCCTTTACCTTCAGTCATGGTTCATTCACTTTGAATATTTGCATAACTTACATGTTAAAGTATTGCTAATTTAATTTCAACATTTGCATTATCAAAATAACAAATAGGCGAGACATATCTCTGTGTCAACAGTTTATTCTAATTAGCTGCTAAACAATCAGAAAAACAATTCAGATGTCCGAATAGAAAAAGGGAGTCATGTAATCTACATTGTAAGTACAATGTATGGAACTCTTGACATGGCCATGAGCTTATGGGTTTTTTATTACCGGAATCCAATGCCAGCTACCCTCCCACCAGGGGTACAAGTCAAAGTGGCACCTAGTCATTCCTGTGATATGCGACAGGTGCTACCTGATAAGACCTGAAGGTTATTGGTTTTTTAAAAGTGGATATTCATATTTTATGTATTTGTTTCACTTGCATGACTTGTTGTCATACTTTTCAGCAATCTGATATACAACTTTGCAGGAAATCGTATGCTCCTTTTGTCATGTTAGTGATATTTTTGCACAAAATTGTATACATGTTAGTGGTGTTTTAGTGGAAATATTTTCTCCTTTATGATATTTTAGAAAAATCCTGATAGGAAAGGAAACCTAAAAGAATTTAACAGCCATGTTGTAGATAGTTTTTATACGACCGCAAAAATTTTTGCGGTCGTATATTGGTATCACGTCGTTGTCATCGTCGTCCGAAGACAGTTGGTTTCTGGACAATAACTTTGGTATAATTAAATAGAAATCTATGAAATTTAAACACAAGGTTTATAACCATGAAAGGAAGGTTGCCAACTTGGGATTAATTGAGTTTGGGGGTTATGGTCCTAACAGTTTAGGAAAAATGGGCCAAAATGGGCCCAAATAAGCATTTTTCTAGTTTCCAGACAATAGCTTGTGGAACGGTGTATGGATCTCTCTGAAATTATACCACAAGTTTCCATACCACAAAGGGATGGTTAGATTTCGCTTTGGGGGGTTATGGCTCAAACAGTTTAGGAATTAGGGGCAAAAAAGGGGGAAAAACAAGGGTTTCCTGGTTAAAGGACAATTACTTAAGACAATTTAAAAGCAGTGTAAGGGAGGTAATCCAAACACAACGTTTTGATTACCTCACTTACACTGCTTTTAAATTATGTATAAAGAAATGTTGTATTGTCTTGAGATGATTAGCTGTCAATTTATTTTTAGAAGTTACTATTAAGGAATATTAATTTTAGCCATGATTATGCATGTCATTTTCTATTTTAAGACTTTTATGATGTATTTAAATGGGTAATTATGGTTGCAAACTCCATTGGAAATTTGAATTGAGATTATGATCATATCTTGAGGGAAAGAATTTTTTGGGGGGAAAAGGGGGGGGGGGGGGGTAAAAAGAAATTGTGGGGGTCAATTTTTTCTCATTTCAGATTTCAGAAATTAAAAAGAAAAATTCTTCAAATATTATTATTTTGCAAAAGTATTTTGCACAAAAGCAAAAATTTGAATATAAATTCAAATCATATAACTAATTCTAAGTTCTTTGACTACAGTTATTCTGTGTCAGAAACCTATTATGTGTCAAATATTTAATTACAATCCAAATTCAGACCTGTATCAAGTGGAAATATTGTGTCCATTTTTGCCCCAACTGTTCAGGGTTGGACCTCTGCGGTCGTATCCAGCTGCACTCGGCGAAGCAGTTTATTTTCTTTAAATGATATAAGGGTCAGTTTGGGTTATTTTACCATTATAGTCACAGGCACTTGTTTCTATCCATGGGAAAGTCGACCCTTATACCATTTAAAGAAAATAAACTTCTTCGCCGAGCGCAGCTGGATATGACAGATTTCTTGCTGTTGTGCAATACACTGCTGTTGCGCAATACTTAGTAAATCTGTTTTCAGACTATATACAAAAAATTAGCAAAATAAATTGTGACCCCAAATTTTTTCTTTGGAAAATTGACAATTTCTTAAATCTTGAGGGGAAAAAAAATGCCCCCCCCCCCCCCTCCCCCCCCCAAAAAAAAAAATTTTATTTTTTACTTTTTTACTCCCCCCCCATCCCCTTCTAAAGAATAACATTTGAAGTAATTTTCTATTTGTAAAATGATGTACAATTTCAGAGACATCCATACACTTAAACACAAGTTATTGTCTGAAAACTAGAAAAATGCTTTTTTTGGCCCCTAATTCCTGAATGGTTTGGGCAATTTCCCCCAAAATGAATCCCAATCTTCTACTCCTGGTATTGAACATTGTGGTACAATTTCAGAGCAATCAAAATACTTAAACACAAGTTATTGTCCTGAAACTAGAAAAATGCTTGTTTTGGGCCTTTTTTGCCCCTTTATTCCTAAATGGTTGAGACCATCAACGCCAAAAACAATCCCAACCTTCCTTTTGTGGTATTGAACCTTTTGGTCAAATTTCATAGAGATCGATACATTTAAACTAAAGTTATTGTCTGGAAACCAAACTGTCAAATGTCTTCATACGCTGACGACGACATGATAGCAATATACGACCCCCAAAATGTTTTTGCGGTCGTATAATAAGGTTTGCTTCATTGCAGTTAATGGTTGGTTTAATAAATTGTAGAATTATAAGTTATCATATATAATGTAGCTGTTGTGCTAGCTCCAAAACTGCATCAACTGCAAGTTCAATTCTTGTTGCAAATGGGAATTTTGAAATTTTTAAAAGGGGAAGAAAGAAATGGGCTTCCAAACCCAAGAGTTGGTCTCCTGATCTGCCAATGGTTTGTGAGGTTGGATTCACAGACATGACAGATATTGGTTGCTCCAGCAAATGTTCTTTTTTTAACTGATCCATGTTCAAATATTTCGTTCATATATCTTCATAATGATTAATGGTTCTTTATAGGATTTTTTACAATGTCTGTATCATATTTCAGATAAATCAACACACGTCATGGTAAAAATTTTAAGTAATGGTGACATAGTACCAGATGATGATCCAAGGGCACAACAGAGTTCATCAAGATCTAGCAGGCCTACTTCAGCAAGACCTAGACAGGTGAGTTAAATGTGTCCTAAATCTAGTGGGACTTCTTCAGCAAGACCTAGACAGGGGAGTTAAATGTGTCCTAAATCTAATGGGACTACTTCAGCAAGACCTAGACAGGGGAGTTAAATGTGTCCTAAATCTAATGGGACTACCTTCAGCAAGACCTAGACAGGTGAGTTTAATGTGTCCTAGATCAAGTGGGACTACTTCAGTAAGACCTAGACAGGTGAGTTAAATGTATCCTAACAGTGGGACTACTTCAGCAAGACCTAGACTTGTGAATTCAATGTGTCCTAGAACTAGTGGGACTACTTCAGCAAGACATAGACAGGTGAATCAATGTGTCCTAGAACTAGGGGGACTTCTTCAGCAAGACCTAGACAGGTGAATTATTGTGTCCTAGATCCAGAAGGACTGCTTCAGCAATCTTGACGAAAACAGGTGAAAGCATTTTTGTAATCCTTGACCTAGTGGGACAACTTCAGTAAGACCAAGACAGGTGATTAACATGTATGCTAGATCTAATTGGACTATTTCAGTAAGACCAACACTGGTGTTGATTGTAATCCTTGATCTAGTGAGACTACTTCATGAAGACCAAGACAGGTGAGGTATCCTTACATCTAGTGGAACTACTCTAACAAGACCAAGACATGTGAGTAATCCTTTATCTAATTGGACTACTTCAGTAATACCGACACAGGTGTTGATTGTAATCATTGATCTTGTGAGACTACTTCAGGAAGACCGAGATAGGTGAGGTATCCTTACATCTAGTGGGACTACTCTAACAAGACCAAGATATGTGAGTAATACTTGATATGGTGGGACAACTTCAGTTAGGCCAAGACAGGCAAGTTATTCTAATTTGAAATGTATATGTATTTTAAACTTGATGTCTGACAGTCAAGTTAAGAAAATATTATTACTTGTACACAATGATGAAGGTAAATAATTTTAAAAAAAAGTTGTCTACTTACATATTGCATCTTAAGCTCATATACTATTTACATGATTAGATATAGTTTGCTATACTTTGAAAATAACTCATGTAATTTATTATATTAGTGGTTAAAGGAATGCAGAAAATTTTCCAGATAAATTCTTTGAATTAAAATAAATTACATGAATCAAAGGAAATTTTAATAAAAAAAATGTTTTGTAAAAATTTTGGGTAGTAGATAGAAACAGGAGTTACATGTATAATATCAAATAAAGCGTATTTATTTTAGGTCTGATCAGTACCAATGATTTTCAAGAACACATGACTTGATTACAGAGAAAAGTTTTGACATTGCATTACCTTGTATTATTTTTACATGTTTTTGTAAAATGTGACATCAAATGTTTTTTTTTTATTATTCTGGAAACTAAACATGCTAAAAGTTTAATAAAAAAAAAGAAAATCTACATATGAAATTACAAAATGCTCTTCCTTTCATGGTGGAAAGTTGAAAAATTTTAATGAAAAAAGGTTCAAAATATTTAAAATTTGTATGAAAGGGAAAGGGTTAATATTGAAATAAAAAAATGACTTTGCTTACATGCTGTACATCCTGAAAAAGTTTGTTTAAATGTTCTATCTATTTAGAAGAAATCCTGTTTTTTTTACAACCACCTTTTTAGTTTGACAGTTTATATACCATGATTAAAGAAACTTTAAATTTCCAAATTCTTTTATTATTTTTTTTTAATGGAGATGTGTTGAAAATGTCAAGGAGACAGCAACATCAGAATATGATTTAACCAATATAAAAATCTATGTCTTTAGTTTAGTAATTAAATATGCACTTATCTGTTGTTCAAATTAATTTATCTATATATATATATATATATATATATATATAGTATATTTTTTCCTGTACATTCAGAAAATCTTCCAATGTTTTTATTTTTGTGAACTTTGTGAAAGGATAATATTGCAAAAATAAAAAACTCACATTTAAAAAATTAATAGCATTATTTGAATGCAACATTTCCTGAAATTGCAATAATTTATCTTGCTTTTTTGTTCATTGCTCACTAATCCCAATAATAAATACATGCAAAAATTTCTGAAATTACGTGCCCTCATAATTAACATAATAAATGTAAAATCTATAGATAATTGTAGAAACACAAATAATCCTAGATGTTGTTTTGCCATTTTACTCATCTCATTGATTTTTCTTTCCAGGGGTTTGTTCAGCATGACAATAATGCTTACCAACAAGGTCAAGCTGGAGGACAAAGTGTATCTGTATTTACTGTGGTTAATCAAAAACTGTTAGGCTACGGACTGCCTAGATTTAATGTTGGACCTTATGTTGTGGAGCCCATTGTTATAGTAGCTTTTGTATTAGCTGGACTTTTGATGGGCCTTCCTGGACTTATATTTGCAGCATTGTTATTTTTTGTATCACAATGGAGTGGTATAGGCGGGGAAGGAGGAGGAGGAGGGGCAGGTCAGAGGATGGGAGGGGGAAATCAAGGAGGTGGTGGTCATAGACTTGGTTAATAATTATAGTAATTTATTATAAATTCATTGTGTTTTATGCAGATATATTTATTACAAAGATCATGTTATTGTTAAAGATTTGATACTGTACAAGCACTTTGTGTGAAGTTCATAAACATAAATAATCATAAGTTTCACAGCAAGTCTGACAGGACAAGAAGATTGAGGTAATTGAGATGATTTCTGCCAAGATATTCAAACTGGATGTTAATCTGTTTTAGCTACTATAATCAATCTCAGACAATATCAGTGGGTGTTGCAAACTTAACATTATACAATGTTGTTTTTATCCAACAGTGATTTTTTTTACATAAACTTGCATTCAAGCTTTTTCTCACCTAGTGAGTCCAAATATGTGATAAAATTATACCTTCATGTGGTACTGTTAGAGATTAATGGGGTCAAAATTTTTGACATTTACACAAAATTTCGGTTTCTTACATAATGTCTGTCCAAAGGATAGAAATGTTTAACTTGTTTAATTAAAAAGATAAACACAAGCAGATTTAAAAAAAAACATTTGGAAAATCCTCTTTACATAATTTATTTATATTAAATTTTCATAATTTTAAAGAGAAACTAGATGTGTCAGAACAACACTAATGGCCCCACTTGCAAAAAAAGCTTCAAGCCATTTTTAAGAGTGTAAATTTAAAAATGAAAGTCTGTATAACTGATATTTTCACATAATTTTAAAAGTCCAAAGCCCGTAATTTCTGCAAAAATCAGTGAAGTGGAACCAAACGTAAACTTGATCTGTAACTCATCATAGTAGACTCGCATACTAAAAATCAGCTGAATATGTGAAGGAATCTAAAAAATATCTGTATAACAGTTCATTGCGGAATGATGTATAAGGGTAAAACTATATGGCCCCCAACCACTTTGTGGTTTGGCCATCAAAATGGCATTTTTACTGTATATCTAATCTGATTAAATTCAGATCCTGTGTCCAAGCTTTGCTTACAAGGATCTGAAAATGATTCATTCTACTTTCTATTGTAAAGAACTTTCAGGAATCCTCTGGTTTTATCAGATTAATATTCACCATCAAGGAAGTAAAACAGAATGTTTTCAGAGCCTTGTAATCATCAGTGATTTGTTTTTAAAAAAAGTTGGTACGAATAATCCTCATACACAATCAAGCAACTGAACATAGAAAATGATAGTGCAAGTGGGGCATCCATGTACTATGGATACATTCTTGTTTTATTACACAATTTAATCAATTTACTTCAATTTTTTTTTTACATATCACTTGTAAAAAAACTGTTCAATAGAAATAGCATATATGGTATTGCATCATAAAGATATTTTAGGAGAGAAAGTTGAATGAAAGTGAAGTAAATTGTGTATTACATTGTATTGTGCAATAAACTGTAAATAAAATTTGATACCATTTCAACCCACTTCATCATTTCTCAAAATGGTTTATTTGTATACTTCTAGATCTTAAATTCCAGTTCCAAGAAATAATCTGATAATTCAACACTCCCCCTAACCTTGGACAGTAGTGAAACAGCACAACATAAAAACAAACTATTAAAATCAGTTGAAAAGGACATAACTCATCAGAACAATACAAAGCACAAACAAGAGTGCACACGATGAAATGTCTCGCTTGCTTGACTGATTTTATGTTGATAGTCCTAAATATAAAGTTTTACTACAAGTATCACATAAACTTAACATGATCCAAGAAAATGAGGTCACGGTCAGATAAACCAAACCAGAAATACATGTACACCTTACAATCATTTCATGCATCAAATATAGTTGACCTATTGATTATTGTATCTAAGAAACAAACTTAAACATTCAGTATGTGCCTGTCCCAATTCAGGAGCCTGTAATTCAGTGGTTGTCGTTTGTTGCTGTGTATCATATTTGTTTTTTGTTCATAAATTAGGCCGTTAGTTTTCTTGTTTGAATTGTTTTACATTTGTCATTTCAGGGCCTTTTATAGCGGACTATGCGGTATGGGTTTTGCTCATTGTTGAAGGCCGCACACACGGTGACCTATAGTTGTTAATTTCTGTGTCACTTGGTCTCTTGTGGAGAGTTGTCTCATTGGCAATCATACCACATCTTATTTTTATATTAACAGGAAACCTAAACATTGACCAATGAACCATGAAAATGATGTCAAGGTCAGATGATGCCTGTCAAACAGACACATACACCTTATAATCATTTCATACACCAAATATAGTTGACCTATTGCTTATAGTTTAAGAAAAACAGACCAAAACACAAAAAAACTTAACATTGAGCAATGAACTGTGAAAATGAGGTCAAGGTCAAATAAAACCTGCTAGACTGACATGTACATCCTAAAATATTTCCATACACCAAATATAGTTGATAATTGCATATAGTATTAGGAAACCAGACCAAAACACAAAAACTTAACTTTAACCACTAAATCATGAAAATGAGGTCAAGGTCAGATGACATCTGCCAGCTGGACATGTACACCTTACAATCATTCCATACACCAAATATAGTAGACCTATTGCTTATACTATCTGAGATATGGACTTGACCGCAAAAACTTAACCTTGTTCACTAATCCATGAATTGAGGCCAAGGTCAAGTGAAAACTGTCTGACAGGCATGAGGACCTTGCAAGGTATGCACATACTAAATATAGTTATCCTATCACTCATAATAAGAGAGAAATTAACATTAAAAACTTTAAACTTTTTTTTCAAGTAGTCACTGAACTATGAAAATGAGGTCAAGGACAATGGACATATGACAGACAGAAACTTCATAACATTAAGTATGATGCAACCAGGTCTTCTACAGTCTGAAATATGAAACTTTTAATTAGTTAACGCAGCTGTTGCCACCAGATCACTATCCTTAAGTCTCCCTTTTTGCAACAGAAGTCACAGGCTCGACAAAAACCAGTAACAAAAACACTAAAGACACAATGTACAGATCTGAGAGTACTCACAGTTACTGAAAGTTCTTTCAAAGCCAATTACAACTGAAAATGGAGACCTAGCTAGCTAGTCATACATTTGTCTCATAATACATACGAGACTCACAGTGAGACACATATGTATAACATATATCAATTATATATTAAATCATGACTTCACTTCATGGTATCTCATTGACAGAAATTCAATGCACATGATATTTTACTCTCAGTATTTGATATTTAAACAATTTTCTTTTTAAGTATTTGTAGTCAATTTTGTGGGACAGTCTCATTTAAATATAAACTTAGCATTAATGAGACAAATCTAGAAATATTTCCTTCTTAAGTACAAAGATCATTAGAGTTTTATGAACTAATGATAATACCATAAGGTAACCTGTAAATTCACATTCACTCCTATGTTTTAAATCAATGATAACATTAATGTTTGTATATCTTTATTATTTTTTATATCAATAGTTAAACATAAGTTAACTTGGTGATAAGTCTGTTACTGAAAGATAATTATGCTGCCGCTGTACACATATGTATATGAAATCATAAAACAAGCATTTAATATCAAATCTCTATACATATTGGTATATCAAAAGATCAGATAAAACCTCAAAACTGGATAGCATTAATGCCATTAAAAAAAAAATCCACTGCAATTTACAAAATGGTATACAAAACAGATTTTGAAAAAATTTCAACCCAAAATGATTTCAGTTTAAATGATACTAAAATAGATTGCTACTGCTACTTCTCAGTCTGCATTATTTCTTTAATTTCTTAGCTTAATTAACAAAATGCTAAATGTGATATGGAAGTATTCATTTACTTTTTTCTACCAAAAATGATATCAGTTTAATGATACTAAAACAGATACAACTTATTCTCAGTATTTCATACCTGCCAACCCTCCTGTTTATTGCGGGAGTCTCCTGCGCAAACGACGAAATTCCAGAAATCTCCTGCTTGCCGGTCCGCTCCCGCGCAGGAGTTTATAATCTCCTTTCAGATATTTTTACCTGGAATAACCCACGTTTGTAAATCTCTTGATTTTTTCATTACTTTCAATAGAAATAAACAAACAATCGGCGATCATTTAAAAACTTTGGTCAGTAGTGTTTATGGTCGATGTATAAGTAATCAAAATTCATTTCTTCTATGTCAATTCCAACACGATAGAGGTCTTTGTCTGGACCAAGCGGCAGTGTAAAAAAGAAGAAATAGATAACTGCAAATCAAAATGTCAAGTAGATTTGAATGAAAGATTTTCAATTTTTACGACCAAGTTCACTTGGCAATGAAATTTATCTTTTTGCACATCATGTTCAAATAACTCTTCGATTTCTTCTGGTGGTCTGTACGATGTTTGAAGGCATGCTTAGTGTGAGACTCACAACAAAATCAAAATATGGAACGTTATGAGTTATGAGACTCGGAGGTATAGAAAAAGGCTAAATGAAAAAACCACCTTGTATAGATTATTACCATGAATTGGAGAAATAAAGTATATTTATTAACTCTATTGGTGTTTTGTAGATGAATGCGTAAACAGGTCATACGTATATTTAACTTGAAAATGTCATTCGCGCAAAATCTCCCCCTCAGCTGTCATAGCTGAGGGGGAGATCTCCCTCTTGAAGGTTTCAGAGGATGGCAGATATGGTGTTTGTCTTTTTAAGAATGACCTACTGGATATGTTCATCAAATGATCCAGGTGCCAGAAAAGTGAAAAATTATTTTCGTAGCCTATTTATATTCACAGAACAATATACTGTGAGATCAGATTGGCATTTCTTTTTATAATGGATTATCTTTAGATGATAAGCAAAAACAATATAATTGTACAATGGTAGGTGTGGGGACAATTGTAAATTGTAACCATGTGTGTCTATTTATGAAATAGTAACATTTATATATTAAATAATGAATAAATGATGGAATTTTAGAAAGTGTTTTTTCTTGAAGGTAATGATTTAACAACTGTAATATATGACACTTTTATGTTTTCACATGATAAATCCAGATCCTTTTGTAAAGGAATAATTTTCGATTGTTCACAAATAAATTATCTCCCTTTGATTAACACATGTAGTCAAACAAATGTGGTCATGTTTGATTTTTATTGAGTTTAAGAAATCCAGCTGTTGTAGAAAAGTATTTATTGTTAGCTTCTTGTACTTTCTTCTCTGCGGCTTGTGGATTTACTATTTCCAAACCCTAAAACAGATAACATGAATGTTAATTTTAGATGACAAAAGAGAGATATCAATTGGGTTTTTTTGTGTGTTTTTTTAGGAGGGAGGGCAGTCTTGTATTATAATCTCTAGTTCTTTCGACAGTTTGTTTTTTTCTTGTAAGACAAGTTTGTACTCCTCTACAGTAGTCTCGACATTCATCACAGTCATTACACCCCTTATAGTGTGTATATCTAGAGTTTTAATATTTTAAAATTAATATTTACTCTGAGATAAAAGTTTTCTGCATGCAGAAGAAAATTGCATGTGAAAGGTTGGAAGAAAACCCATACTGAAAAAATGTAAATCAGTTGAATCAATTAAATTTTGTTACTAGTATAATGACTTCTATGTACATTGTAGTTACATATTATTATTCATATACTGGAAAAGTAAAAATTCAAATTCAAATAAACAATGCTAGATGAAAGAGTTCATAAAGCATTGCAGTTCAGGAATTATTATTTAAGTAGAAGTTTACTGCCTTTAAACTTCATCTTGTGTAATAGATTTTGATACAACAACAGGCTTTCATAACGTTCATATACAGCATTATCTCCCTTTAAAATGAACAACTACAAAGTATTTAATTTCCCTGAATGAAAGGAACTAAATTGTCATAAAACTTCTACAATTTTTTTTCTTGATATAAACCAAAACCTATTATATCACATCTTTTGTGACTAGCAAACAGTGCATTGTGCTTAAGTTTTGTTGCCATCATAGTTTAAAGAGGTAATTTAGATGTCTCTGTTTACCTGTAATGGTGTGAATGCCACACTGGATGCTGTACCAGCTATCTGTTTCTTTACTGTTGTACTTCCTCCCCACACCTGGTTATTTTGTTTCTGTACTTTCATCTAAAATTTAAGGTTTCAAAAACTTAAAATTCATATCTTTAGATTGATGAAAAAAATCGAAGTGCCAGTCTGCATCTGCCTAAAAACATAGCAAATGGAAATAATAAACATACACAAAACTACACTGAATTAAATTAAGAAAGGTACCAAGATGACAGTATTCCACAACTGCATCTTGTGAAGTTATAAATAATGATTTTAAAAATGCTATGACATTATAACTATTTGACAGTCGATCTAAAATAGCAACTATAATTTTTATGATTCTAAGCACTTTTCTAGAAATAAATGTATGGGGGTCTGAAGGCACTTTTTATCTAACCTAGCCATGCATAAAATTTTGATTAATTATTTCATAAAATAACCACCACCCATCAAATTTTAATAAAAGTGCCTTCCTCTAATTTCTTCTGACACTTCAATGCTTGTATTTTATCCTCCAGTTGATGTAGGACATTTACATAACCAACAACTGAATATATGTTTCATCAATACCTGTAATGTTTTAGAAATTCTGGCTTTAGTCTTTGAGTCTACAACAGGACCACGTATTCTGCCGGATTTTGCTTTTGATCCAAGTGTTCCCATGGTAAAACCTAAATCATCTTGATATGCATCTTCTTCAATCTGTAAAGATATTTATAAATATTAAGGTTATATGATCCATCTTAAGACACAGATATTATCTTTCATTTTTGCAAACAAAACCATTTTGTGAGCTAACTACAAGTATATAAAATCTCCTGTACATATCATCATTAATGGTTAAAATATATAAATTGTTTTTATTCTTACTACCTACAGTGTGACACTTCTGACATGTTGGAATTTCTGACGTAACTACAGCGAATTCACTAATGTTATTTCACACTGATGACATACCAGGGATTGTAAATAGAGGAAATCTGAGGTCCTAACCTGATACATTCCTATTTGTCCATTGAAAACCAACCCAATAGGTCAAGTAGACCTTTATTATTTCAAGAGAACTTCTACATCATTTAGTCTCTAGTTGAGAGTTGACTCATTGGCAATCATACCACATGTTCTTATTTTTATATAATATAATAATATATAAGTTAATAACATTGAAATGTATCTACTAGAACTGACCTCTCCAAAGCTCATTCTGTTGGCAGCTTTAGCCATTTCTGAAAGTCCTAATCTTTCTTTTACTTTTCTAGCTCTAAAATTATAAATAAAAATTGTTAACAATTAAAATACTATAATAATGATGATGATAAATTGGTGTTTAACTTTAAATGGCATATCAGAAAGAAAACATGATTATGTGACATGAATATGAATAGATATAAGAAGAGGTGGTATGAGTGCCAATGAGACAACCCCTGTTTAGTACTAGACCCACATATTGAGTCAGAATTTTAACTTGCTAGTTATCAAGGTAACAGTCCACTGGATGATATATCACCCTTCACTGACACATCATTCTAGCTCTCAGTAACCAGTATTTACTTTTACTCCCACAGGTTGCATTGTTTTGCAGATAAGCAACACAAATACCAATTTTTAATTTGGTTAGGTACCTGTCATGGGTTGAACACACAATCTCAGGACTCAAGGCCTGCCCACTACCACAAGACCATGGATGCAGTTTAAAAAAGAAAACGGGAAAAGGGTATACATCTAATGAGGCAGCAACCTAACAACACACAAAGTTTTAAAAGATATCTATCTGTCAAACAGTTTTATAGTTTATGAAAAGTTATACAGAATTTATTAAAATATCCATCCACAGCAAGATTGGGTTTTAAATTTCTGAATTTTGTCACTAAGTGTATACAATAATCTACGACAAAATGTGAATCAATTTGAAAGGGAAAACTAACAGCCTGATCTATGCTAAAAACATATAAGGCAATCAGAAACTAAGGAAAACCACTGGTTTACAGGCTCCTGACTTGGGACAGACACATACAGAATGTAGTAGGGTTAAACATGTTATAAGTTCCTTTTCAAACAAATATCAACCACTGGTAATTCATGTTGTCCCTCTACATCAGATAAAGTTCTATTAATTGTTTAATTCATACCTTCTTCCTCCTCTTTTTTTCTTGGGGACCTCTATGGGGGCTGGTAAAGCTTTAACATGTTTTACTGGGGGAGGTTCCTGTAGTTTTTCTAATTTTTGTTCTATATCTGCGGCCAGTTGGTCCCCTACTTTGCCATCTACACTTTCATGGAAGCTGTCCACTCTGGCTGCTAGTGTACTTTTGGCTGATACCAACCTTGCTGCTTTCTTTCTCAGATCCTGCAACAACTTAGACATTAGAAGTAATCTAGTAGAAACATATGATTCTGAAGTAATGTATGTAGACCTAATTTGGTAGAGTTTTCGTATACTAGAGCGTTTAAACCAAAATGGGGCCCAGTACCATAAACTATATCCCCCATCCTTTTAAAATTGAAATTCCCTATTATTTAATCTAACCCCTGTCCTTCACTTATTAGCTAGGGAAAACAATGATATTTCCTTTTAATTTCTACATGTTGGCCAAGTTGTATATGATTGTATACCTTTACATGTCCTTCTTGCTACTGATAAAAAAGTGCTTTTAGTATACTTGTTCAACTTTATGACAGATTATTATTGGTTTAGGAAATCAGAGCAAACCTAGTGATATAATGTATGATATTGATTTCAGTGTAAAGACATGTCTGAATAACCTTCCTACGGTGTGCAAGAGATGAAAATTTTAAGCTAAATAAATAAAGATTTGGGCATATCTCAAGTCACTATCTTTAACAAGTAATTAAACAAGATTGCTGCACCATAGTGAAATATTCCTTGCGCTGAATGTGTGAAGAAATAGACAAACAGATAGATGAACAAAATGACGATATATACAACGGATGATAAGAGACAACAATATCCAACATCAACCCTTTTGGTCAGGTAAGCTAATATCTTACAGGTGGAGTTTTCTGTACTGTATCACTATAGTATATGTATCCTGTGTGTGGCATGATAGCTGCTGTAGAGAAACCAGACAATGTTTTCTTTTGTGAGCCCAAAAGCAATACATTACATGCTGGCATCTTAGACAAGTTCGTTAACCCTCCTGCTAGACCTGTGAAAAATAATAACATACAATCAGTTATACTTTTCTTTTGAGCCACTTGTTTCACATGTACATGTATTATATATATTAAGGGAAATACTTTTCTTGCAAAGGAGAAGGTATAATAAGGCAAGTTTTTGGCCCCTTAAGAAGTAATATAAATCGATCAGTTATCATTCTTGAAAGGTTCATATTTATATTTTTTAATTTGTCTTGCATATTTGCTTTTAACTCTAGGCCTTCAAACTTACACACAATTTTAAGTAATCAATGCAAACACTTTAAAAGTTGTCAAACTTTGAGATTTTGTCACTAATATTTACATAGTTAAACAAAGTGATAAGAATTTATCATTGTATTCTATTACTAATACAATGAAACTAACTTTGAAAGGATTAAAGAAGTTTTTTTATTTTAGGGACTTAATAAATGCACTTATCATACCACCTCCTCTCTACAGGTTTACTTTATGCATGAACAGCAACAACTGACTGGCAATAAACTGAGAATTTACTTTAAGGTTACATTTGAATTGTTTTCATATCAGATATAATAAAATGCTCCGCTGGGGCGCAGCTTGATACGACCGCAGAGGTCGAACCCTGAACAGTTGGGGCAAGTATGGATACAACATTCAAGCTAGATACAGCACTGAATTTGGATTGTAATTAAATATTTGACACAGCATAGGTTTCTGACACAGAATGAAAGTGGTCTAAGAACTTAAAAATGTTTAATTTACCTATTCAAACCATATCATTATTATTTGCTTTTATATATAAATCAGAAATAACCAATTTAAAATGGAAAATTTTAAAGAAAAAAAAGGAAAAAAAAATCCCCCCCAATTTTTTGAACCCCCTTATGATTCATCAACCCCAAACTCAATCCCAGCTTTCCCTTTGTGGTATGGTACTTTGCAGTACAATTTCAGAGAGATCCATACATTTGAACACAAGTTATTGTCTGGAAACTAGTAAAATGCTTATTTTTGGCCCCTTTTTGGCCCCTTATTCCTAAACGTTTTGGGCAATTACCCCCAAACTAAATTCCAGCTTTCCCTTTGTGATATGGAACCTTGTAGTACAATTTCATAAAGATCCATTCACTTACACACAAGTTATTGTCCTGATCCTAGAAAAATCCTTGTTTTTTTCCCCTCTTTGGCCCTTAATTCCTAAAATTTTGAGGCAATTACCCCCAAAATCAATCCCAGCCTTTCCTCTGTGGTGTGGTACCTTGCAGTACAATTTCAGAGAGATCCATAAATTGAACACAAGTTATTGTCTGGAAACTAGTAAAATGCTTATTTTTGGCCCCTTTTTGGCCCCTTATTCCTAAACGTTTTGGGCAATTACCCCCAAACTCAATTCCAGCTTTCCCTTTGTGATATGGAACCTTGTAGTACAATTTCATAAAGATCCATTCACTTACACACAAGTTATTGTCCTGATCCTAGAAAAAATCCTTGTTTTTTCCCCCTTTTTGGCCCCTAATTCCTAAAATTTTGAGGCAATTACCCCCAAAATCAATCCCAGCCTTTCCTCTGTGGTATGGTACCTTGCAGTACAATTTCAGAGAGATCCATAAATTGAACACAAGTTATTGTCTGGAAACTAGAAAAAATGCTTATTTTTGGCCCCTTATTCCTAAACTTTTTGGGCAATTACCCCCAAACTAAATTCCAGCTTTCCCTTTGTGATATGGAACCTTGTAGTACAATTTCATAAAGATCCATACACTTACACACAAGTTATTGTCATGAAACTAGAAAAATGCTTGTTTTTTGCCCCTTTTTGGCCCCTAATTCCTAAAATTTGTGGCAATTACCCCCAAAATCAATCCCAGCATTCCCTTTGTGATATGGAACCTTGTGGTACAATGTCAGAGAGATCCATACACTAACACACAAGTTATGTCTGGAAGTTACAAAAATGCTTATTTTTGGCCCCTTTTTGGCCCCTAATTCCTTAACTGTGGGTACCATAACCCCCAAAATCAATCCCCACCTTCCTTTTGTGGTATTGAACCTTATGGTAAAATTTCATTGAGATCCATTTACTTAAACTAAAGTTAGAGTGCGAAAACTAATGTGTCTTCGGACGACGACGACGCCGGACGACGACGACGATGACGACGACGACGACGCCAACGTCATACCAATATACGACCTCAAAAATTTTTTTGCGGTCGTATAAAAATGCTATGTTAAACCATGGAAGTAATATTTAAAAGGAATAACAACAACTAATTAGCATGTATTAACAGCCTGCAGAGCTCTGTACTAAAGTCATATGATTTTATCCAATTATAGTCTCAGCGGCAAGACCCCTTTGGTTACTATCTGTGATACCGCAGTTGTAAAATGGCATCTGGAATTTCTTATCAGTCACGTGATTTTATCGAGTCCGGTAATTTTAAAGCACCTATGTGAAATCTGGGGTTTATTAATAAGAAGGTGGCGCTGTAATATATAAAACCTCTACCTTCAGAAAGAAGTCGTACGATGTAAAAAACTTGAAAAACGGACAAGAATTGTTCAACCTACAACAGTTTTAGCATGGAAAATTGTATTTAATTTAGCATATTTTTGCTTTTTACCGTTTGTTTTAAACTGTTCTAAAAGTATTTTCCAGTTAAAAGCGGATCCCGAGTAAAACAGTTAAATACCCATGAATCGATCAGGTTTCACATGATGTTTAACAAAATAATAATGTTAGTAAACATATATTTTTTTAAAAAGTGTTTATTGTGGAATACTTGTATTAATATAACAAGCTACAGCAAAGATTAAAACAAACTGACAAAATGAGCTTGACGCTATCTGTCTTACGGCAATTTCATTTTACACGAACTAGTGTATGTATCAAGAACTATAAATTAAAGGATAGAACCGTTTAGAATTGTCAATATTTTAATTGACTAATACACGAAAGACTTAGATTATTCGTATTTAATAATAAAAGGGGGTCCAAACGTATTTTTTGTACAATCATCTTCTTAACTTAACTGTCTGTAAATATTAAAATTGAAAATGACCCAGCCTTGTTCTCCAATTTCATATGTGATAGCTGTCGGTACTATTAAGATCGAACTAACCAGAGATAGGAAAATTGGACTAAAATAAAAATTGAACGAATGACTCTATTCGGCAGCGTACATCAACGGAATGTAACGAATGGACTATTCGGGTTACTTCGCACGTATATACGACAAAAACTTGTCTGTTCGTAGTTTTCCGTGAACACGAAAATGACCGAAAAGTGTCAGTGATTTGATCGATCACATGCGGAGAATCAACTTCCATGCCAGATATTAAACCAATTAACGAGTTATCGAAAGATGGGCGGTATCGCAGATGAAACCTTTGAAGTGACGACGTTGTTATTCCTTTTTAATATTACCTCCATGGTTAAACTATATATTTTCATGTGCTTGTGTTGTTGGATTGTATGCTGACTGATGTTTAATTAATAAATATAGTGTAACTAAAATGTGATTTTTTTTTTGTATTCATATCAAATGTAAAGCTACCTTGAACTTGAAGCTTATTCTGCCTGTTCCACTTTAATTTGAACATTATTTGTCTGATCAATCTCTATCCAATATTTGATTTTGATTTTCAATTACTGTAAATTCAGAATTTTTCTGGATTGTTTAATTATTGCGAAAATTGCAACATGATGGTTTTTGGCAAAATCAAATTTTTTACTTGTATGCAGCATTTACTGAAAACACAAAAATTAATTTCATATTTCTGTCCGTTTGGTACAAAAGTATATTAAACAAATAATATTTAAATATGTCTCATTTTCAACATAACACGATTAAGAAATTTTTAAATAATGCCACCTGACTGATAAAGAAAGGTAAATTTTGAGCATTCCTGATTAAGGTAAATCTTGAACAACACTTCAGATGCACCAAATTTATAAAGTATTATTTTTATTCCATATTCAAGTTACCTTAAAGAATTCAAAAGAGATTGATAAAAATCAATTTAAAATAAATGATATAGCATTCAGTTTTATGATTATTGTTTCAGGTATTATATCTTAATAATATGGAAAATATAACATAAATGCTAGACACTTACCCATCAATTTAGCTGCTATTGAAGCCCCTACAATAATTGATAGGTTAGGTGCAATGAAAGACATCCTCGACTCCACATACTCAAATATCTTTAGTTTAAATTCGCTCAATTCAACAGCCTGAAAATACAAAAGATATACTGTGGATTCATTTATTTTTGTGGATACCAATTTTTCATGGATTGAGGAAAACTTACATATTTGTTGATAATTGATTTCATGGTTTTGTTCACGTCAGCATATATTCCAAGAGAGCATTTGTGTTTCGTTGAACATTTAAATTCATGGTTTTCCTGAACCAACGAAATCCATGAAAATTGGTATCCGTTGAATACTTATGAACCCACAGTAATGTGATCTCTATAAGTAATCTACAACATACTGTCCTATATGTATTTGTTCTTATCTGTGTATGTCCATTATATTGTAGGAGGTGGTTGTTTGGGGCTTGGACTATTTAACTATAATGTTACCTCTTTTACATACATAAAAGGGGCACTAGCTGTCAAATTCATGTTTTGACTCCATTGCCAACCAGTAAAGGCTGAATGCTTAGGTGAGAAGCACCATACAAATGTTCAAGTCTTTAGTTTCAAACCAATGATCCTCTGCACATGATACTCTTACCACCACTTGACCACCGAGGTGGTTCAACTTTGAAAGCGCACATGAATATGTGGCATTATTAAGCTAGTTTTTTTTAACCTGACACAAAAAAAAACCTTATAAAAAGGCAGTCAAAGAAAAGTACTGAACTTCAAAATAATAGTTTGCTAGATAACAAAAACACAAGTATAATAAAGCAATAATAAACATTATCATATACTAAGAATAAATAAATTTTTACAGTATGATAAAAGCATTAAATTTGCGTGAATTCCATATTTTCCGAACTGGTGCTTAGCGGGCTGATATATATAGATTATAACATGGCATTTTTCATATCAGACCCCTTATCAGCCCGAGAGCCGACAGGCTCGAGGGATGATTTTGATCATGGGCTGATAAGGGGTCTGATATGAAAAATGACACGTTATGTTCTTTTTATCATATACTTCAGCAGAAGCCATACAGACATGAAAACTTTTTTAAAACTTTATAAAATTCATTTATTGTATTATTTGTTTTGCATTTTTTAATAATATATTTTCCTGTTTCCTAATATTCCTTCTGTTATTCTACTTAGCTATGTTTTTCACTTAAATGTACCACTGAGGTTTATTTTCCCGAATTTGTAGAATGACGTCGAAATGCTTTGCGATTACATTAAAGAAAGGGATGCGATAATAACCGGAAGCAGTTGATATAAACCGGAAACAGTTGATATATACCGGAAGCAGTTGATATATACCGGAAGCAGTTGATAACAAAAGTCATATCACACGGCTAAGACAATTCTTCAAATTTATTGAATAAATATATGCATAAATTAGTTTTATCAATGGGTACAATTATACCATTATTTTCTACAAGTATATGATAAGAAAAAATTATCAACTGCTTCCAGTTATTAGCGCATGCCTTTCCATAAAGTTATCGCATGGCATTCCAGAAATTTCACCTCAATGGTAAGTTTTCATTGAAAAACATAACAAAGTAGGATACAAAACAAATATTAAGAATCAGGAAAATATTTTATGTAAAATGCAAAACAAATGATACAATAAATGCATTTTTCAAAGTTTTAAAAATAATTCTTGTCTGTATTTCTTCTGCTGAAGTATATGATAAAAAGCTCATTGCATTTTTCATTATGTCTTGTTGAATACTATACTGTTGTTTTTCTCCTCTGTTGAGGCATATGATAGAAATATTTCATATCGGATGTATTACATTTGGCATCCATCGTCTGTAAGCTTTTCACTTTTTGAACTTCTACTTGAGAAACACTTAAATGTCGCAGATCGATATATTAAACTGTTATTTTTCTCCATTGTTGAAGCATATGATAAAAAGATCATAACATGTCATTTTTCATATCAGATGTATTATCAGCCCAAGAGCCGATAATACATCTGATATGAAAAATGCCATGTAATAATCTGATAATATTACACTGTATCATAGAATGTTCACAATTAACGGTACTAAAAGCAAGCTTAAAGTACTTTTACTGCAGATATGAAATAATGTCACAGTCTTCACAATAGACTTTTGAATCTAAAGGCCTGAAGCTGAATTTTAAGAAAATTTTTATATAGTTAGATTATATTGGCCTGTGGAGGTGATTTTTACAGGCCCAACAAAAAGTTTTACAAGCCTGTGCCGGTCTGCCTGTGGTTGAGTGCAAAGACTGATGTCATTCATTAGCTGCACTTCATAGAAGATTAACTGTAAATTCAGAAACTATTGTAAGGTTTTTATTAATGCGAATAATGTGACTGGGTGAGAATCGCAAAAATAAGAACTAGCATTTTGATATCTGATTCATATATCTGTATAAAGACTTTCCTGAATTCGCAATTATTAATTTCACATTTTTGTCTATTCTTCAAAATCACATTAATAAATGCACTCAATAATTTCTGAATTTTTCAGTAATACAGTGACGCCATAAATGGTATGCAATCTTATGCAAAGCTGAGAACGAATTGTACAGAATTTCAATGCAGGAAAACAAAAGAAAAATTTAGTCTTGCTTCAAACAATTTTAAAAGACGCAAAGTGATGTTTGTGCAAAGATAAAGAATAAATTTTACCATTTTGCAGGCATCCATGACAACTGCCAATTCTTCATCTGTAAGCTTTGAACTAAAACAGAATACATGTACCATCACACTAAATTACTATTTCTTCTAATTATAGAGCTGATGAATGGACAACTTTGAGTAACTAACAGCATTAAAATTAGCTAAGAAATAAGTCTAAATACCAAACATTTTTTCACACAACTATTTCATTATTTTATTGCCTACTATTTCATTGTTAGATAATACTGTATAAACATTAGCTAGATACGATATCTATGTTAGTATGTTATCATAGTTACAAGTTAGTTGCAGTTATATAATTTACTTTTCTTGAGGCTTAAAAAAATAAAGGAACTATCTTCTGTGGAATTTTTCTTCCATAACTTTGAAATTAAACCAAGGTCTATATTTAGATTAAATTGTAAGTAATAAAGGTTAAAGGTTATTAGACAGAGTTCCTCGTGTGTCTATTCAGCCTTACACTTTCGTACTTAAAAGAAAGTCAATTTGTTAACTTTGCCTTCCACCTCATACATAAAATAAATTCTGTTTGTAAGCACAGTTTACACATAAAAAAAACTCCTTCAAAATAGCCTTTATTTAATTTTTATCATTAGGCTGGCAGCTTAATGCTTATTTATAGGTCAAGGTGACTCGATTTCTAAATAGACCAAACATGTCTGCTGACAGCATATGATTCTTCTATTATTTCCAGATGATTTGTTTTCGACATTACCAAATTTAAACAAGGCTACTGCACCTATATTTTTTTGTTTGTTTATTTCATTTTTAGCACTATGCCTACTTGGATCATGAATAATTACATGTCCTATAAGTCTCTCTTTGTTTAGAAAAAGCAACAATGTTGATTACATCTTATATATCTATACCTTGTGTAGTAGATGCAGTGTTTATTACAGCTTATATAACTAAACCTACCCTTGTGTAGTAGATGCAGTAACACTGACAACCATTATGGTGGCTGGGGTCAGTATCTCTTGTAAGTTTTCATTGTTTTTGGAATTTTCTAAAATGCTGTTTCCAAGGTTCTACAATAAATATAACATATATTTATAAACTGTAAACCTGGTAAATTTCATAGAGTAGCCTTTACGGCTATCGCTTGGCTGCAACAGGGGAATAATTGTATTTTAGAATATTTTGTTACCAGTGACAGACAGAATCCCTATTGTCATGCTTACTAAGCACTAGTTGGTTTATCAAAGACCTTGATTGCAGACATACAGCTGTGACAGGATTAATTATAAGATGGAAAAAGTAATATTTTCATTGTTTTTGGAATTTTCTAAAATGCTGTTTCCAAGGTTCTACAATAAATATAACATATAATAATAAACTGTAAACCTGGTAAATTTCATAGATTACAGTTGTGACAAGGATTAATTATAAGATGGAAAAAGTAATATTTAAGTCAATTAAAATGTATTAATACATTTACAACTAAAATAGGTCATTACTTAACAATTAATCTCTTTTTTGACGAAGGTATTTTTTTTTATTTGGATCTCTCTCTCTCTCTTTCATTTATACACTGAGAGTTACATATGTATATTTCTTCATGTTTCAACTGAATATCACATCTTGAAATCAGTAAAAAAATGAACCCATTCTGTTGATTTCGATAATTCATTATATTTCCTGCATTTGGCCTTTTGTTGTTTTATCTTAATATCTATTTCTTAATTCTGGCGTTTTTATAAAATTATTGTCAGATCAAATATGTATTTCCATTCCTTAAATTCCTAATTTATAGAACAATATTATGTGTATCAAACCTTCACTGTCCTAACATATTCCATAGGCATTGGTACTAATGATTCTAACTCGGGAAATCTTTTTGAATAATGATCTCTGGTAAACTTGTGTATCACATCTGAAAAAGAACCAAATATGAGGTATCCATCTGTAAAAACTTTCTTAAAAATACATTAATTAAAAACTTCTGTCATTAGAATAAAAAGTTATGTGAGTAGTACTACTAATACAACTCAGTAAGAACAAGACTCTACTTTGTCTTATTTTGTATTTAAACAAGAATGTGTCCATAGTACACGGATACCCCACTCGCAATATCATTTTCTATGTTCAGTGGACCGTGAAATTGGGGTCAAAACTCTAATTTGACATTAAAATTAGAAGGATCATATCATAGGGAACATGTGTACTAAGTTTCAAGTTGATTGGAATTCAACTTCATTAAAAACTACCTTGACCAAAAACTTTAACCTGAAATTTTCTATGTTCAGTGGACCGTGAAATTGGGGTCAAAACTCTAATTTGGCATCAAAATTAGAAAAGATCATATCATAGGAAACATGTGTACTAAGTTTCAAGTTGATTAGACGTCAACTTCATCAAAAACTATCTTGACCAAAAACTTTAACCTGAAGCGGGACAGATGGACAAACGGACATACGGACGGAGGAACGGACGCACAGACCGAAAAACATAATGCCCCTAGGTGGGGCATAAAAAAAAATTTAGTAAAGATAAGATAAAAGATTTTAAAGCTATTTATAGATTGTATTATATAAAGTTTTCATCTTTAGACTTTACACAAATCTAAGCTTAAAATGCAATTGAATGAATCTATCTTACCTTACCAAAACAGTAAAATGTTTTGTTTATGATTGTAAAAATATAGATTCTACCACTGTATCAACTGTTATACAATATCTCTCTACTCAAAAAATTTAATTCATATTAAAAATGTGAGGCTTGCCAACCTTTTTTAAAATTTTAAATTTATCTGATGAGAGTGGAGAAATATCATATTGCATGAGTTTATGTGGTGGAATTTGTTTCTCTAATGATTTTAGACTACATGAAGACAAACTTTATCTTTCTTTTTCAATGATCTACAAAAAGATGTGTTCTTTATATGTGACCTCATCAGGGCTCTTGGTTATAAAACTTTATTCATTACTCGGTGTTCAAATTTTGTGCTTGAAATTTCAAATCCAGTATTTTGATTGGTTGATTTCTGCTTGAAATATCAAATCCAGTATTTTGATTGGTCTGGTAATCAGGCTCAACTTTTTTAGACCCCAAGGCCAGACATAGTTCCCCTTATTAGTGACATCGCAATAGGAATTTCAAAGGAAAGCCAGAAAATGTGATGTCATAATCAATGAAGAACTGAGAACAAACGAACCACATGCTGATTATAACAAGCATTCTCAGAGTATTGCATGGCAATACATAGTCCCCTACCAGGTAAAAATTCATTATGCTGGAACAAAATGCTAACTTGTTCTATAACTTGTCATGGTGTAAACAAAAAGTAAATATCATGTCAATATCTTCAAGCATGACTAAAACAGTGTGGAAAACTGATTATATGAGGGAATTTTTCAAGTCCAAGGACAATAACTCTGCACAAAATTATTAGATGATAAAACTATATACCAATTATCAATCAATATCTTATAAGCATGATGAAAAAAACATTAGATATGATAAATAGTTCTCTAAAATTAGATATGATGTAATACAGTGTATATCTATTTTCAAATTATAATCAGATATAATAAATAGTTCCAAATATTTTTTTCTTTCATTTGTCACAAACTAATAAAGATTTGTAACTTATCTATAAAATGTCAACAACTTTTATCTACACAATATAGTCTAGTCAATTTAGTGAACAACCTGCAACTAATTGCAACACAAAGTTTTTCTCTGAAAAACAAGTCTGTTACTATCTATGAACAACATACTAAAACTATACAAAAATATATTTTGCGGAAAGTGGTGTAATTTATAAAAATGTTTAGTAGTAAAAGTAAGGTTATATGAGTTGCTTCCCCTTATTTGCCAAAGTTGAAAAAAATAAAATTATACAAAAAAAGTTCTGTATTTTTTAAAACAGTTCAAATAATACAATACAATACATAATTATTTCAATTTAAAAGAATAATATTACAAATGAATCACTTTTCTGTCTCAAAATTTGTATATTTGAATAAAGATATAGACCGAGATTGTGTTCTGCTATTTTACAATCCAAGAATCTAATTCTCCAAAATAATGTTGGTAAGTAACCTATAAATAGAAAACTGTACTGAATTAGAGTCACCAACTTAGTCACATTCTTACTTGGTATTTGAAAGAATTCTGCCCTGTGTTAAAGGCACAGACAGTTAATTTTTTGTTGGGGGAGGGGTTCCAGAAACACATGTTTTGTTCTTTATAAAAAAAATGTTATTGCAAGATTCAAAGTCTTTAATGTATTTTTCCCCACAACTTTAGAAAAAAACCAATATATTTTTTTCATATACCTTCTGGAATAAACATGTTAAGATTTAGAATCCAACAATGTTTCATAAAAAAATAAGAATGATGAGTGTTAAATGATTTTATGTTAAATATTTTTTCACAAATGAAAATTTCAGGCTTCTCGAAGCAAATAGCTACTCATGTAATTTGCGACGATCTCAGTACTCACACACCATATAAATAAAGCTTTGACTGTAACACTGAATCCACTTTTCACTTTGGTTACTAATCGGATGTGTACTTATTTATATTTTAGTCGGTGCCAACAGTATTTATTCATCAACTGTAATTACTAAGCTTTGAACTAGCTATGAGAACTCAGTGTCTTTTTGTTAATTGGTCATATACTCCGTGCTGATCTTTTTGAGTTGAGCCCTTTCCAACTGGTTTTTACAATTTGTTCTTACGTTGTTTGCTATTTAAATAAAATTGAGAATGGAAATGGGGAATACTGTATGTCAAAGAGACAACAACTCGACCAGATCAAGAGCAGATAACAGCCGAAGGCCACCAATGGGTCTTCAACGAAACGAGAAAATCCCGCACCAGGAGGTGGTCCTCAGCCGGCCCCTAAATAAAAACTGTTCTTGATTATTGGAGGGTTGAGTGCTCGCAAACAGGGTTAACCCTGCACACTATGAATATGATTATCACAAGTCAGTGGCCCATTATTACTTGGTTGTTATTGTTTGCTGTCTGTCATATTTGTTTTTCCGTTTATTGTTTGAACATTAATCAGGCCTTTGAGTTTCTCGTTTGACTTGTTTTATATTTTGACGATGAGCTATAATTGTTTACATCCACACCCACATCATTGATATCTCTTGTGGAAAGTTTTCTCATTGGTAATCATACAACATCTTCTTATGTTTTTAAAGTGGGGAGATTTTATAATAGGTGATGGTTTCATTGGCAAGCAATCAAACTTACTACCAAGAGATCACTGATAGAGTTTAGTGGACCTTAAACGTTAAACATTTATATTCTTTTGGCATGAGGTGTATTTTTTTAAATAATTTTATAGTTTCGTTCAAATGAGTTGAATACAGGTCAGCATTCCGGAAGCAGAAAACAGCGTCTTTAACATTGATATATCTGTAATAGAGTATATTTATGAATAAAGAGAGATTTGAGGTTTTTAAAGTCAACGAGAAAGCAACCCAAACGACTAACAAAAACCAACAGACATACTTTCAGATAAGACATGACTATCTAAACGCTATCTCTGGCCATCAAAGTCGCCCACAGACACTACAAATTTTGATTCATACACAAATGATGCATGATCATTTTTTTACAGTTCTTAGCCTAAGCTGATTATCTTTTATTATATTAATTCAATGAGATATATTAAATAAAGAACTTGGTAATGTTTTTCTTTATATACTAGTAAGTATAGATATATCTTTGACCATAATATTTTCATATAGCAGACAACCCATGTTAGTTCTTTGTCATTACCATTTGGTTGATGTTTCAGACCACCACATACATGCAGGTTTATAGGGTACACACATAAGGCGCTGTTCCTATTAACACTTCCTCCAGGAAGTGATCCCATTAATTCATTCAACAGTGCTTATCTCATTTTCAACATCCAAAATTGGACCACTTTAGTACAATTACTATTTAAATTCAAGCTCTTGAGGTAAACTTATAATCGTATCGACAAAGCTGCTCTTGAAATTGCCTTAAACAATATCAGATCTACATTTAATTTTTGATCTATGAGTTTGACTGTCCCTCTGGTATCTTTTGCCCCTCTTTTAATGCTAATTCAGTGAACTAGTATATGTTCCTAAATTTTAAAAGCTTATATATCTGAAATTAAACGTGGATATTGATAGAGCTTGCTAAATAAAATTAGCAACACATTAAGAGAAATCTGCAATCACATCGTCTGTTTTTAACTGTGACTTTATGCAATTCAAATATTGTAAAAGTAGCTAATGAAAAAATACACAAAAAGGACTACAGTCAATGACGATGCAAGGACACTAGAAAAGTGAATTTTCCAGCAATTAACATGACACAATCAAAGTCAGTAACCAAACTGATTTACAGTTATTTTTGAACACAATCATTTTTTGTTTATTATACCTACACGTTTAATTACTATAAATACATAACCGAAACATAAGATAAAATTTCAAACTTCCACAAAATGCACATATTTAAAACTGAGTTTTACTGTGTGTTTGTTTATTCTATATTGTCTAGAGAAACTAGGGGAGGGTTGAGTTCTCAAACAACATGTTTTACCCCTGCCACATTATTGCACCTATCCCAAGTCAGGAACCTCTAGCCTTTGATTGTCTTGTGTGTGTTTTTTCTTTTTTGTGATAATTTTGGTTCATTTGTATGTACTGGAGTTTAGGGTGGTTTCCATTTTGCTGAACTAGTGTACAAAATAATTAAGGGGTCAGCTGAAGCCCACCTCCGTGTGCCGGATTTACTTGCTATGTTAAAGACCCATTAGTGGCCTTGTTTTCTCTTTGACACATTCCCTGTTTCCATTGTCCATTTTTTCGTTTTTAAAAATCAAACTAAAAATAACCAAGATTTTAATTTTTTTAATTTTATATGCCCTCACTTAGGGGCATTATGTTTTTCTGTCTGTGCGTCTATTCGTTCGTCCGTCTGTCCTGCTTCAGATTAAAGTTTTTTGTTAAAGTTTTGGTCAAGGTATTTTTTTATGAAGTTGAAGTCCAATCATATTGAAACTTAGTAATAAATGTTCCCTATGATAAGATCTTTCTAATTTTAATGCCAAATTAGAGTTTTGACCCAATTTCACAGTCCACTGAACATAGAAAATGATAGTGCGGGTGGGGCATCCGTGTACTATGGATATATTCTTGTTTTGTAGTTAGTGTGTAAAACAAAATATTTCACACAACAAATTGATTATTATTGATATCGATAACAAGAGGAATACATATGCGATAAACATAAGATAATATAGTCTGTCTATAAAGATCCTATGTTAAAAGTTTTAACCATGAATAATCGAGTTTTTTATTTCTATTTTTCACAATTTTTCTCTACAAATCACATTTTACACAAGAATTACAATTTTTTAAATACTAATAACTATAGGACTTCTTAAGATAAACATCGGATAGTATTCTCTATTTTCTGTTAAGATTCCAATTAGAAAGTTTTAACCATCAATAACCGAGATATCTTCATTTCCAGTTTTCCGGGTTTTCGGTCTTAAAACATATATTCAACCAAAATTACCCAAATATTAATATTGATAACTAAAGGACTTCACAAATAAAACATAAAATAGTATGTTCTTTTTCTATATAGATCAAATTTCAAAAATATTAACCATTAACAACGGAGATTTTCTACGTTTCCAGTTTTCAGCGTTTTTTCATTAAAAATCACTCATTACACCTCAAAATTACTTCAGTATGAATAATAATAACTAGAGGACTACATAATATTCTATAAAGATATGGTTTCCTGTCTTCAACAAGCTTTAGGTCTAAAAATGTAACCATAAATAACAATTTTTCTTCTTTTCCAGTTTTCAGCATTTTTTCTCTAAAAAACACATATTTCACCCCAAAATAACCTTTTCCGCAAATTATATCAATATATAGTTTTAGTATGTTATTAGTACAAGTCTATATTATAATTTGCACTAAAAAAACCTTGTGTTGCAATTAGTTGCAGGTTGAGCGATTTTAGAGCTAAATTGACTAGGCTAATATAATGTAGTGAAATATATACATTAATAAAAATAGATTATTATCTAATTAAAGGATTTCTCTTCATAATTTTTTATTTTATATATATAGCATTCAGAAAATGAGTTTATACTAAATAACAAACAAACCTGTCAAAAAATTCTTCAAATAATTTAACAAAGAATGTCTTTTAAAAAATGAGTTATCTCCCTTTGTACAGAAATATGGTTTAACATAGTACTCTAACATTAGATATGGTCCAGAGTTATGGTTCATAACTCTGAACTAAATCATCAGACCAGAACAAAATTCGAACTTAATCTATAACTTGTCATGATAAAACTATATACCAAATATCAAATCAATATCTTCAAGAACGAAGAAAAAAAGTGTGGAAAGCTGATTTGCCGGACTGACGGAGGGACAGACGGACAGATGGACAGACGGACAGACGGAGGGACAGACGGACAGATGGACAGACAGACAGACAGACGGACGGAGTGCAAACCTACCTACAGTCCCCTTCGACTTTGTCGGTAGGGGACTAAAAATTTAATCAACTGGTCATGAAAAGTACAAATCAGGTAAGAATAAAATAAATAACTCATACTGTGAAAATACTTTTTCCGTCTATTATTTTCTTTTTTTATATATTTTTTTTCAGCTTCTAATATTAGCTTATTTGTGTAATTGTGTATTGTATTCTATGTTTGGCTGCTATCTCCTTCTTTTCTACACTGTGGTGTGCATTTTCATTTTGACCATTTTGTGGTTTTAAACTCAACCTTAAAAACTGAAACGGGGTAAAGCCGTGGTTTTTCATGTGTCTTCTACATGTAGTGTTATCAATTTGTATATCTTTTTTATGTTATTTTTAAACTTCAGTAAGCCTTCAGTTGTCTCATTCATTTTTTGAAACTTTGTTTACTGAGTCTTTTTTTTATCGTGAATATTAGCTGCAGAACATTTCCCATTATCCTTTAGTTTATAATGGATTGTTGTCACTTTGGCAACCATACAAGATGTCCTGAATTTTATAATATTTCTCTTTTTTTGATAAACCCAGGAAAATCAGTTGTATATATTTATAAAAGAACTTACTTATTTCATTATCTATTTCAACTGTTAAATTGTTTGCTTCAACGATAAGTTGATATTCTGGATCTGCTTCAACTGGCCCAGCAACTACAAAAAAAGGATGGTAATATAAGTATTACAAATCTCATCATTTCACACTACTTCTTTGAGGGAATATTTAGATTTATATTCAAAAGATTAGTAGCACCTGAACTTAAATTGGATTTTTTTCTGCAATCTTATTTTTCGATTTTGATCATGTTCTTAGTTTTTCATCTATAGTGGTGACCATGTTAGATAAAAATTTGTAAGGGGTCCATGGAACCCTGTGTCTCGACTGCGATTGCTGCTGTCAGTGTAAAAGTGTAATGTTGACTTAAAAAGTGAGTCCATTTATCAGTAAAATATAGAATTTTTTTTTAAATTCAAACTTTTTCTTTAGAAGTTTTTTTCTTCGTCTTGAAGATTAACTTATGTCCAAGTTTCATATCCATAATCAATGAAGGCTGACAAATGTATCATTTCTAAAAAATTTAATCCCAGACTGTCTGTAAATGTTAACTGTATAAAATGCTTCTCTGAGCACAGCTGGATACGACCGCAGAGGTCCACCCCTGAACAGTTAGGGCAAAAATGGACACAATATTCACGCTTGATACCAGTCTGAATTTGAATTGTAATTAAATATTTGACACATAATAGGTTTCTGACACCGAATAACTGTAGTCAAAGAACTTAGAATGGGGTTATATGATTTGAATTTATATTCCATTTTTTGCTTTTGTGAAATACACTATGCTGTTGCGTATTGACCCCCCCCCCCCCCCAATAATTTTTTTTTACCCCCCCCCCCCCCCTTTTTTGGCAAAAAGAAATAATATTTGAAGAAATTTTCTTTTTAATTTCTGAAATCTGAAATGAAAAAAAAAAATGCCCCAACAATTTCTTTTTTACCACCCTCCCCCCTTAATATTTTTTTCACCTCCCCGCCCCATTTTTCCAAAAAAAAATTCTTTCCCTCAAGATATGATCATAATCTCAATTCAAATTTCCAATGGAGTTTGCAACCATAATTACCAATTTAAATACATAAAAGTCTAAAAATAGAAAAAAACCCAACCCCCCCCCCCCCCCCCAATTTTTTGAACCCCCTTACGATTCATCACCCCCAAACTCAATCGCAGCCTTCCCTTTGTGGTATGGTACCTTGCAGTACAATTTCAGAGAGATCCATACACTTGAACACAAGTTATTGTTTGGAAACTAGAAAAATGCTTATTTTTGGCCCCTTTTTGGCCCCTTATTCCCAAACGTTTGAGGCAATTACCCCTAAACTCAAACCCAATTTTCCCTTTGTGATATGGAACCTTGTAGTAAAATTTCATAAAGATCCATACACTTACACACAAGTTATTGTCCTGAAACTAGAAAAATGCTTGTTTTTTTCCCCTTTTGGCCCCTTATTCCTAAAATTTTGAGGCAATTACCCCCAAAATCCATCCCAGCCTTTCCTTTGTGGTATGGTACCTTGCAGTACAATTTCAGAGAGATCCATACACTTGAATACAAGTTATTGTCTGGAAACTAGAAAAATGCTTATTTTTGGCCCCTTTTTGGCCCTTATTCCCAAACGTTTAGGGCAATTACCCACAAACTCAATTCCAGCTTTCCCTTTGTGATATGGAACCTTGTAGTACAATTTTAGAAAGATCCATACACTTACACACAAGCTATTGTAATGAAACTAGAAAAATGCTTGTTTTTTGCCCCTTTTTTGGCTCCTAATTCCTAAAATTTTGAGGCAATTATCCCCAAAATCAATCCCAGTATTCCCTTTGTGATATGGAACCTTATGGTACAATGTCAGAGAGATCCATACACTAACACACAAGTTATTGTCTGGAAGTTACAAAAATGCTTATTTTTGGTCCCTTTTTTGCCCCTTATTCCTTAACTGTTGGTTCCATAACCCCCAACCTTCCTTTTGTGGTATTGATCCTTATGGTAAAATTTCATAGAGATCCATTCACTTAAACTAAAGTTATTGTGCGAAAACCAATGTGTCTTCGGACGACGAAGAAGACGACGACGATGCCAACGTCATACCAATATACGACCGCAAATTTTTTTTAACTTAGTCCAACTATCAAAAAAATACTGATAATGAAAATATGTTTTCAAAAGTATGCTTCATACATTATCTCTTAATCATAAAAAAGCTTCTGCCAAAGTTTCATAAAATTCTATGAAGGTTTGACAAAGTAATTGATGTGTAACAAACTTTAACCCTAGACTGTTAACTGTAAAAAAAAATCTAAGTCCATTTACCAGTGAAAAAAGGGAAAATGAAAATAAATATTTTCAAAATTTCACTCTGGATACTGTCTTTTGGTCATAAACAAGCTTTTGTCCAAATTTCATAAAATTCCATGAAGGTTTGACAAAGTTATTGATGACTGAAGAACTTTAACCTCAGACTAAATCCGAACGTTAACTGTAAAAAAAAAGTCCATTTATCAGTATAATACGGAAAAATGAAAATCAATATTTTCAAAACTTTGCTCTGGATGCTGTATTTTGGTCATAAACAAGCTCCTCTCCAAATTCATAAAGTTCCATAAATGTTTGACAAAATTATTGATGTCTTAAAATAATTTAACCACAGATTTAACCTAATTTGTTGACGCCGCTTACAGAATCTTGGATCGCTATGTCTCGCTTTTTTGACATAAATGTTGCAGGCTCGACAAAAAAGTGTGTTGGTAGGTCAAAATTCTTGAAGGTTTAATAAATGTATCAGTTTTAAAACAATTTTACTAAAAAGGATTTAAAAAAATATCCTTACTTTTTTTTAATTATATTTTCATTTCTAAAATAATAGTTCCTCCTACTGTTGATTGCTGTTGGGACCATCAACTATAAATTTAAATGGCAAACATTACATGTATCATCTATTGTCCCAATGCTTAGTAGCAGTTCTGGTTACATAGTGTTTCATAATACATTAATGTGCTTTCTAATCATAACTTCCAGGTATGATAAAATGTTAATTTTGCTCAGAATTTTTAATGTTTATTAGTGACTATGACAGTATTCAATATATGACACCACTGATCTGTGATAGAATCAAGTCCATAATAAAATATATATATGACATCTTTTAATTGTATTAAATCAAGTCCATACTGTTATCATGTGTTATCAAAGTAATGATTTGATTTTGATTTTTGGCGCTTTAATGCCTCTTTTGAACACCGCTTTTAGGCTATTTCGTGGCGGCCACTTTTTATTGGTGGAGGAAGCCGGAGTGCCCGGAGAAAACCACCGACCTTTGATAGGAAAACTGACAATCCTAGTCAATTAAGATTGGAGTCGAGTGAACTCACAACCTCAGTGTTGACTGGCTAGTGATTACAATAGTGACTACTTAGACCACTCGGCCACTGAGGCCCTTATCAAAGTAATGGCTAGGTAGGTAAAGTAATTCTACATTTGAAGAAAACATTTTTACGTAAGACTAAAGAGAAAAATGTTCTGGACTTTAAAATGCTTAACCAAAAATGTCTGGTCTTTAATGGCGCTTTAACAAAGCAGGTAGTCACAAAACTTTAGGTTATGTAGTGCCTTAACAAAACAAGAGTGCACGTGTAAGTGAAATGTCCCACCTGTTTTACTGACCATTTTTTGTCAGACAGACCTAGTCGCTTTACAATTATTCCATACACCAAATATAATTGACCTATTGCTATTAGTATTTGAAAAACAGACCAAAATACAAAAACAAAACATTGACCAATGAACCATGAAAATGAGGTCAAGGTAAGATAAAACCTGGCAGACTGACATGTACCCAGAACAATCATTCCATACACCACATTTAGTGGACCTACTGCTTATAGTATCTGAGAAACGAACCTAATCACGTAACTTTAACATTGTTCACTGATCCATATAATGAGGTCAAGGTCAGGGGAACTCTGTCTGACGGACATGATGCAAGGAACCCATATACCAAATATAATTATCCTATTACTCATAATAAGTGAGAACTTTACATGACAAATAAACTGCTTCGCTGAGCACAGCTAGATACGCCTGCAGAGGTCCAACCCTGAACAGTTGGGGCAAAAATGGACACAATATTCAAGCTTGATTCAGGTCTGAATTTGGATTGTAATTAAATATTTGACATATTATAGGTTTCTGAATAAATGTATTCAAAGAACTTGAAATTGGTTATATGAATTGAATTTATGTTCAATTAAAGATGTCTTGCTGTTGTGCAATACTTAGTAAATCTGTTGTCAAACTATAAACAAATAAAGTTCAATTAATTCTCAATGTCATATTAGAAATTTATGAAAATAAAAAGGGAGCTTACATCAATAGATATAAACAATTCACCAAAGTTTCATGAGAATTGGTGACAGCATTTTTGAGTTTTTGTCCGAAAACTGGAAAATCACCCCTTTTTTTAATGAATAAAACCCCATAACTCAGAAATGTAAAATGTAAAATTTATAAAATTCTAAAGGGAGCTTACATCAATACATACAAACAAATCACCAAAGTTTCATTAGAATTGCTGAAAGCATTTTTGAGTTTTTGTCCGAAAACTGGAAAATCCCCCCTTTTTTTATGAATAAAACCCTGTAACTCGGAAACGTAAAATCTAAAATTTATAAAAATCAAAAGGGAGCTCATGTCATTAGATATAAACAATTCACCACAATTTCTTGCAAGTTGGTGAAAAACTTCTTGACTTATTGTCCAAAAACTGGAAAATCCCCCTTTTTTTAATGAATAAAACCCCATAACTCGGAAACGTAAAATCTAAATTTTATAAAAAACGAAAGGGAGCTCACGTCAATAGATATAAACAATTCACCAAAGTTTTATGCAAATTGGTTAAAGCATTTTTGAGTTAATGTCCGACATGTTGACGACGGACAGACAGACGGACAGACGGACGGACGGACAACGGTATACCATAATACGTCCCGTAAACGGGCGTATAAAAACTGTAATTTTTTAAGCAGTTGCTGAACCATGAAAAGGAGGTCTAGGACAATGAACATATGACAGATGGAAACTTCATAAGGTATCTGTATACAAGGTATGAAGCATCTAGTTTCTTCTACCTACTGAAATATAAAGCTTTATAAATACAAAAAAATTACAACTCCGTCCCCGCTGGATAGTAATCCCTATGTCTCGCATACTGTGACGAAAAGGCAGGACAAGACATATGTTTTGTTACATATATATAACTGACTGTTACACAAAATTTTTCTAGACTCAGAGGGATTTATATGACTCTTATGAGGGTCATATGTTTGTGTGCTTGTCAATTATTGAAGGCTGCAAGATGACTCTAGGATAATTTGTGTTGTTGGCTTGCTGACATTACTTGTAACTTTTTTTAAAAACACAAATTGGAAGTTTTCAATTGTATACTCTTACCTTTTTTACGTCTTGGTTGAGTGGCATATACTTGAACTTGCTGCATGACATCCTTCAGCTGAAAAATGCCAATAAATATTTAAAATGTCATTATAGCATATTAACTCCTACCATTGTTTTCAATACAGCAGTAACGGTCTTCTTAGAAATTTGATGAACATTTTTCTTTGAATTAAGGAAAGCGACATATGTATCATTTCACTTAGTAAAACATCTACTTGCATCCAGCCTATTTCTTATACATATCTTCCCTATTTCCAAAATACTAATATTTTGTAATCATAGTCTATGGTAAATGTATATACGGTAAAATCTTGATTTAAAAATAATATATAAACCAATTAAAAAATTCAGATATATGAAACATTTAACCGTATAAAAGTGATGCTTTTGTAGAATTTGACTTTTTCCCTGAAGCACATACAACAGACATCTGTTTAAATAACAAACACAACCTTACTGTACAAAATAATAGTTCAAAAAAGGGAGACAACCAATATAATCAGAGTACTTTTGAAACATTCTTTATTAATGAAAAAAAACAGCAAATTACTTGTTTTCCATCAAATAAGTAAGGCAAAGAGGTAGCTACTCCAGGCATATTTAACAGCAAATGGTTCAAGCCTGATCAAATAAGAATTAAGGAGGGATATAAAAAATAATGTTAAATAGATACTAGCAAGTCTAGTATGTAGGCATATGTGGATGTTTAAAATCATTACAAGGTATGCCTAGCTTATTCTGAAGCTATTTAGGGACACATGATGTAACAGCTAAAGATGTACAGAAAAACTCAATTTGAGATCAGTTGGTTTCCTTTACTAATTAAAATATCTCAATGTGATATAGTAAGGCTAACAGCATATGTTAAATTATGATTTAAACTGAATCTACAGTTTTCTACACGTCTTTTTTTTTGAGAACTCATGAGTGAATTGTAGCCTGCTCTTTGTATGGATTTTAAGGAGTTCAGTCATCATAATTGTATACCTTTTGGCTATCCCGTAGTTTTGCTACAGATCTAACAGAGTCCTTTGTTGAGAAGTCAACTTCTTCAGAGACTTCAGCCACTTCAGCAATTTCTGTCATTTCAACATCAGCTTCATCTTCAATTGCCTCCCCTCCTGCCTCTTCATAATCTGCTAGAAGTTCATCTGCTAGAGACATCCTGTTTCAACTCTTTCTCAAAAGCTTACAACTACAATACCAAAAATATAAATGCACATTACTGGTATCTATTAGAATTTGTCCAATTTTCAGTACTACAGCTGAGTATAATTTATACTCATTTACCACATTACCTTTTTATTATGTGGCAAAGAGGCTAAAAGTAATCTAGACAATAAAAAGATAGTTACAAGATTTCACTAAAAAAAGTTCTCAATATTTTTTTTTATCCTGCATTTAACCAATTTTTGTTCAAATAACAGGTATACAAATAAATGTTTCTGTTAACCTTTACTGCTCTGAGAGATCTGCTATGTTTACATTGCCATTTTTGTCAGACTTCACTTAAGGGTCATCTTCAAGGTCTCATAGTAAACCAGGGATGGGGGAATCATCATTTAAAGGCAATAATACTAACAATACTGGTAAAAAAAAATAATCCCTAAATGCACACAAATGTAATGCAACCCTGATTTAAGGAATTTGAATAAAAAAATTACCACTTTCAATTTAATTAATTTCAAGTACTTGGTTGATAAATTGGATCTATATATCAATTTTGAAAGTTGGGTCATCTCGTTTGATCCAAACAGAGTTAATCTTGTTAACAATTATTTAACCTCTTTAACATTGTTAATCTGCATTATCCTTATTCTTATAAACATAATAAATCTGACAGACAATAAATAGCAAGGTATTACTTATCAACATGAGCCACAGTACTTCCCTAAAAACCTTGCTGATTCACAATCATGCTTTATCAACTATAACATAATTTTATTAGATCTTTATTTTTAAAAATACTGGTACATTGTATATGTATAAACTCATATTCTAGTATTGTAGTATTTTAAAAAAAAAGTAAATGTGGATTGTGTCCACATGTGGACACAGATGATGCCCCCGCTTGCATATCATATAGTTATAAAGGGACATAACTGAAGAACGGTAAAAGTGACGCTACCCAAATTTGAACTTGATTTTTTGGTAATAAGCATTGTGTGTAAGTCTCATAACATTAGGTTGAGGCTAACTTAAGTAGAGAACAGAAACAAATAAAGTTAGAGAACAGAAACGAAAAATTCAGCAATTTTTATGTTTATAAAGGGGCATAACTCAAGAACAGTTAAAGTGATGCCACCCAATTTCAAACTTGATCTGTATTATGTTTCATAACATTTGGTTGAGGCAAACTAAACGGCTATGGCGGGGGCATAAAAATCAACTATACTGGAATAAAAGTACAATGTATATACGAGTATTGTTAATAATATTAGTACCTTGCAGTTGGTGTATCAACGCACCTAAGACTTTTGACTTCACTTTGGTAAACGCATAAAACCAATAATCAGGTAAAATATTATGTGAACAAATTCATGACACTTTAATTTCATGAAATCTTCTTTATGTATGGTTTCATCCTTAAGATTGTGTGTGATGCACTCCAAAAATTAGGGATTTTATGATATTGAAGGGGAGTGACTATGGGGGGCTCAACAAAAGGGTCCTGTTCTCAAGCATCTATGAGTTATTCATGAGATTGCAATTCTAAATTTATTCTTCAACTTATCAATTATAATCTTTTCTGTTCCTTTGGAAAACTACAAAAATGTAGAACAATTACAACATGTATAAGAATGTTTCTATATATGTTTAAATGTTGAGTGTCAGAAAGTACCTAACATTTTGTTATTATAAAACACCAATGCAACCACACATCCCATATTGCCTGATAGGACACAACACTATTTTAGTGTTTTGGCAGTTAAAGTTAAGATGCATTATTTTAATATAATCAAATATGAAAATTATTCATGTATATATATTGATATATTTATATTTAAATTCTTCATCAATAGATCTAGTTATTATCAGTCAGGGGACTTATTGAAATAAGTGATTTAAAATCACTTATTTAAGTAGCAAATTCGAAGTTTTGTCACAAATTGTGATTTTGAAGTTGAATTTTTGCTTCTTTTAAGCAGCAAGGTTTGTGCCTTTGATGCAATCATTTAGCTGCTAATTCTATTTTAGTTGAAAAAATGCTTTAAAAATGGCTTTACATAATGAACTGATACTTTCTAAACAGATTTTTCCCAGCAGTGGGAGTATTTTTCCTGTAAAATTCAAGGTTTCATCTTATAGATTAGCGGTATGTAATAAAATTCTACTGTTCGTGATCAAAATTTCACTGTTCGGGGTGTTGAAATTAGTGGGGGTTATTAAAATAATGATACTTAAAGAAGTGATTTTTTGGAAGGAAATTGAGATATGATACTTAAACAAGTGATTTTTATGACATTATCCTAGATTTAGTACAAGGTCATCACCTGACATGACCCGGTCATCCTATCAACACAGATGTTGCAATTGGTTCTGATAATTTTAGCAACATAAGTAGTCCCTGGATCATTATTATTCTATATTTAAAGCTTCAATAAATTTAAATCACTTAGTCTAGCGATTAATTTGTACTACTTAAATAGGTGATTATTAAAGAAAGAAAACTCTTACTTCCAACCTTTATGGACATAATGTTACTTGAATCAGTGATTTAGAAAATCACTCATTTAAGTAAGTCCCCTGACTGATTATGACAGATCTGCCATCATCAGGGGTCCAACTGTCAATTTTATGTTAAAGTCTTTAACTTCAATCTACTATTAAAGCATAGTTTCATTCAGTTTACATTTGTCTGTGATTGCAGATAGCTGGATTTTCCATTGTGGCGTGTATTAGGGGTAAAGGTTATAACTGTGCTTGAAATTATAACTATCAGCATTAATATTGCAGTTGTCATTCTAAAGAATGGCTCGCAGATTTAAAAAGAAAGTTAAAACTGTTAAACAAAAATTAAGAAATCTCGATCAGGTTTCAAGAAAGAATAGACTTTATGTGAGCCATGTGACATTATAGAGTTTGTCCTATTCTGTACTGCAGAAACACAATGTGTTGGGTCCTGGAAAATAGGCATACGTGGCTGTTAGGTACTTTCTGACAGGTACATTGCAGATATGACGCAATCAGGTAATACACAATATCTATGGCCGGTGGGATTCAGTGGATTCCATTGTATACCATATTGTCATGATTGTGATTGCCGGTAACAAGACATTTTGGCACCCAGACAAATCGGCACCCAAGTCCGAAGACATTTCGGCATCCATTTTCGACATTTCAGGATCCCCACATTTCAGGACCAAGACAATTCGGCATCTCATTTTTTAAAATATATTTATCACTGTATTGTATATTGAAGGTGGTGGATGTGTTGTTGTCTCAGAGAGAAAAATTCTGTTTATATTCTTATCTCAGAGCTCCAAAGAATTTTTTGTGTTATAATCTGGTGACATTTACACCATTTATCATTGGCGCAGATTTAAAATTGACATGTAAAAAAATAATAGACGCGTTTATACCTTTTCAAATTTACCTCGTGTAACTTGACCCCCGCGAAGGCAATCCTTTTAGATTTTAAAAGTTAGTTAAAGCCCCACCTGTTATAATTCAAACCTTAATTACTTAATATAATGTGATTCTTAGTGCTTAATAATCATTTCTTTTTAGATTTTATAAATAGAATTATAGAATTTGACTATTGAAGTCGGACTATTTTTTTTTGTAGTGACCACCATTTGCAAATGGCGCACTTTTTAAATTTTTGAATAACTTTGATTAGAATCATTTAGAAGCAGTAGAAGATGAAACAAAACTAATATTAAAGATATGTAAGGAAAATTATTCACATGAAAAAGTCTCAATCCAAGAATTGAAAAATGCTGTCAAAAAATTAAATACAAATAAAGCTATGGACTATTATGGAATCACTGCTGAAAATTTCATCCATGCCAGCGAAATACTTCTTGAGTATCTTCAACTTCTAATTAACACAAGTTTTGAACACTGCTATATACCAAACTTACTCAAAATTGGAACTCTTTTCCCTGTATTCAAAAACAAAGGTGACATAAAGAATGCTAAAAATTACCGTGGGATTACTGTAACACCAACTTACTCGAAGATCATAGAGATTATAATCAAATGAAGAGAAAACAATAAGATCTTGAAACATAAAAACGCACTGCAAAAAGGCTTCACAGCAAAATCCACTCCACTGCTATGTGAACTGTTCATTGAAGAATTTGAAAGAGAAAATAAAGATCTCAAGTTACCAACCTATGCTGCATTATTGGATGGAAAATCTGCTTTTGATGTTGTAGTTCATAAAAACTTAATACGACGTCTTTTTCAAATTGGTTTCTCACAGCAATCTATTCTACTGATCAGCAATTTATATGAAAATGCAACATCCTGTGTAAAATGGGGCAATACATTGTCAAATTGCTTATTCAATATTGAACAAGGTGTAAGACAAGGTGGTGCCATTAGCACTGACCTCTACAAAGTTTATATCAACCCTCTACTACAAATTCTGAGCAACTCAGGACTAGGAGCCAAAATTGGGAATATAAACTGTTGTGCGCCGACCTGTGCAGACGATGTTGCCTTGATATCCAACAATCCCTTTGAACTCCAAAATATATAGCAGTTGATTACAGCCAAAGAGAAGGATATCTACTACAGCCTCAAAAAAGTGTAGTCTTGCCAATCAAAACATATAACAAAATGCTAGATATTGATCAAGGTTTTTGGAAACTTCAGTGTTTTCCATAAGAACCGGCCGCCGGCCAAATTGACCATTTCAAACAGTTTTTTGGCCGGTTCAATCGTCATCAGCAAAAAAAAATATGAATGCATATTTTACTTATTGGATTATTTTGAGGGTCGCAATTATTATTATTGTTCTTGGTTTATATTTACATTTGAGAGTTCAGATTTGGTTTAAAAATTCAAACAAATGTGGAAAACTTCCTACGATGAAGTACTGCTAATAATATGTCCATTTGACAAGCATGAAATCTTGTCTAGAATTTACCAGATGCCATGATTTTGAGTCTAGATTTAAAAAAATTTCTGTGACCGCCTACTTAATCATTTTGGCTTGTTAGGCCAAAATGAACGGAAAACCCTGAACTTAAAAATATATACATGCCCATTGTTCAAGACTCTTCTCATATTGGAATAAAAAAATCTCAAAAAGACTCTACTAATGCAACCATCACTGAAAATACAAAAAAAGCCAGAAGATCTATGTACAGTCTTATGGGTGCAGGATTGCATGGGGAAAATGGATTAGACCCTGAAACACTAATTTCCTTATTTAGAACATATATCTTACCAGTTTTGACCTACGGCCTGGAAGTCTTGATACCATCAGGTAAAAACTTAGATCTTATACAACAACAACATAAAAGGTGGATTAAACAGATTTTATCTGTCAAACTAAATGTGGCTGACCCGGCTGTCTATTTATTATCAGGTTTGCTCCCACTTGAAGCAGAGATCCATATTAAAATTATAACACTATTTGGGAATATAACCAGAGCTGAAAGATCGTCCTTAGAGTGGAGAATAGCGTAACGTCAACTTCAAATTAAAACCTACTCAAGCAATAGCTGGTTTATTGATCTGAAAAAGATATGTGGCAAATATGTAATAAAGCTGATGAAACCATTGAACATTTTATCTTACTGTGTGAAACAACATCACAAATAAGAACATCTCTTATAGGCAAAAAACTACACGAAGGTAGTCTGGTTTTAGCAAGAGAAAGCCTGTAAACTCCTATTGACCTAATAACATTAATAAGTAACCCTTATTATTACCTCTCAAAGAAGAGTTGCAAGGATGTTGAAGACCGAGTCGGTAATCACTTGGTACCGCTATGCCGCCAACTGTAATATACACTTCATTCCAAGCGCTATGATGTGTTGACAAAAATTGATACAAAAACAAACAGAAAATGAAGAACTGTGAATTCATTTTAGTTATAATATATATATATATATATATGTGTGGAGGTACACATGGATCTCCCTCTTTTATTAGTTTTAAAGTCTATTCATTTTTTTTATGGATTGCATAAACTTTCTTTTTTTGAACAGCGTTAAAAATATAATTGTACTTTTTGTCTTTATTGTTAACTTATTTCTAAAATTAAGTTTTACCATTTTAATTGCATTTGAAATATTTTTAACACTGTCGTGGCGTAAACATGTATATTAAATAAGATAACTTTATGTACGAACTATCATGACTATTGTGAACCATAAATTGAACTGTGTATATACTGGTGGAGGAATCTCATTGATGGAACTACTTTCCTCTATACGGAGGTGTGCCTTGATTGGCAGAAATTCAATTACAGATTACAGATTTATTAGGAAAAATTAAAGAATTGTTGCTTTTAGTGCTTCATTTTGTGCTGTGTAATTTATTGCATGTGTATTATGTGCTGTGTAATTTATTGCATGTGTATTATGTGTTGTATTGTTATAAATGTCTTGTATGTCGGCTAAAAGTATACTTTGCCGACTCTAAATAAAGCTTATTTATCATTATTTATTATTATTTATTATATTTATTATATTTATTATATGTATGCATAAACTGTTGAATATATTTATAATAAATATAATAAATAAATATTATTAATATTCTACATGTGTTTTATTGATTTGGGATACTATGGTAATAGAACTATGCATTACATTAAAACTAGTACATGAACATTAAAAGTAGTACATGAATGGTGAAATCTATAAAATCCGAAGGTTCATTGTATCAGGAAAAAGAATACACACAAATAAGACACCTATCAAAATGACTAAGCTGCAGTACAGTCTTCACAAATAAATAACAAAAAGAATAAACCACTTAATAAGATACTTCTTGGAAGATACCATATACAATATTGACAATAATGTTATAAATAGTGCAGGAAACAAATTAGTAATTTGTAAAAACAGTCAAACATACATGTAATTGCTATATATTAACACTAAACTTGCACATTGAGTTCATGCCCTCATACATATATCAGTGCTGGGTAATTTATATTTTTGGTTCACTATATTTAGATCAAAGCTGGGAACAGTATATCTAACATATATGTTCCTGATCAAAGATAAAATAATTTATAAGGTGCCGATTTGTCTAGGTGCCTATTTGTCTGGGTGCCGAAGTGTCTATCGCGGTGCCGATTGATGCCGATTTGTCTGGGTACCGAACTGTCTAGAATTCGTGATTGCCAAAGCCAGGTACATGTTTTATTGTGTACATGTATGTATTTGTGCGTTATAAAAGATCAAAGAGCTGATGTTATTGTTTTGTTACATGCGCGAATTTAAATAAAGCTTTTAGTTTGATAAGATGCTATTATCCCAAAAGTTCGAACTCCGACGTCTACGTATTTAAGTCAAATGATGCAAAAGAGGAATAAAGCCTTCAAACAGCTAGCAAAATCCTTGAACTTTCGAGTCAAAACTTAAATATTTACATTGGAATTATCTCAAAAAATTTCAGTTTTACCAAATATCTGATCAACTAGATTTCAATTCCTCAAAATACGTCTGAAATAAACGTAAACAGCCGCTGCTAAATTGTTACATGGGGGCTGCCATTTTTCGTAATCAAAACGTTTTTGAGATTGACGAAAATAATACCAGGTTTGGGACGGTTTATTTCCGGAAAAAGTTCACTCGATCTGTCGATATATAAAAACCTGAAGACTTCAAAAACGGTAAGATGAATACGACGAGTACTGAATGAGAACCTCCTTCACCGTGACGAACACACTACCACAGGACCACAGAGGCGGTTTAATGTTCATGTGGACCCTTTGGCTAAAATGGCTGCGTTTTCACCACATGCACTGGTCTCTGAAAAAAAATTACCTTTATAGGCATATGACCGCACTTTTAAATAGCAGTCTGTCAGTCATTATAAAAATCACCATAATGTATATTAATGATTGTTTTTTATTGAGAACATCTGTATAACTTATATTTCTTTTAATATGTACGATCCTAATTTTTGTTTTTGTTTTTTGTACATCATCAGTGAACATTAATGATGTGTTAACTGTCGATACACACATATTTATGGTCTTTCCCCCTGTGAATACCACTGTCACTCTAATCATGGAAGTATTATATTGACAGGGTCAATATAATACTTCCATGATTTAACTATTGTCAGTTTATTGTCTCAATACTGTATGCCATAACCATTTAATGTAAATGTGTTTGTGCTAATAAAATTAAATATTGTCTATTGTCTATTGTAATATAACAAAATTACATTAAAGTATATAAGTATATAGGTATTTTTTTGTTCAAAGACAAGTGGCTGTGCTTTTCACGTCAAAATTTACAGACAAACCTGTGCATCTGGAAGAGTTTTTAAGGCATAGTATGAGGGTATTGATGGGGGTCCCTCGTTTCTGATCTTTATTTTTTTCGCTCATTATTCTTTATCTTTATAAATAATCGGGCTATTCTGTAATTACTTGATAACTGTATTCTGGACATAGTCCTGTTCTGTAATCAATATATTTTTACCCAATTCTTTATTTTTGTAGTTATTCTTTATATATATTAGCATCCCATTATTCTCTCTTTTTTTGGCCCATTTTTCTCCTCTTCACTTTTTTGGCCCATTATTCTCTGTTCTGTAAACCCCATCCACACCGTCTAGTATGCCCAGCCCTAGATAAATAAAATTCAAATACATTTTCTGTTTTAGAAAATTAAAAAAACTTAATTGGATTTTCTGTTCACTTTTTTTGTCTCTGCAGAAGATGATAAAATTAGCAAACAGTTGAGTTTCACTTGATATGGTCCACTCAGTCACACTGTTTAAATCACCAATTATTGTCAGGTTACCTTTAGTCCCTCTGTTGTCCATATCAATCAATAAAGTTCACTTCAATTATTACCTGTGGGGAGAACAAAAAAAGTGCACTGCAAAATCCAGTTAAGTTTTTAATTTTCTAGTGCATTGGAATCTTATTTATCTAGGGCATGCTAATGATGCTATGCCTTAAAACTTTTTCCAGCTACACATGTTTGTCTGTACTCAGAGTTTATTTTGAGGATGAAAACACATGCAGCCATTTTTGCAAAAGTGTCCACATTGGTGAACCTTCAGAGAGGCTTGAATATAACATGATGCATGTCAATGGAATTTCTTAGTGACCCATTTTTATATTCTCCCGGTAATTGGTAGAATTTTTTTTAAAGATAATTTTACTATTGGAAGTTGACCATGAAATATTAGATAACTGCAAAAAAATGCATTATAAGACTGATATAAAACCTAAAGAAGAATTAAGACCAAGAAAGTCATAAAAAGATGCTGAGCATGCATTTCAAAAGACTAGAAAGCAAAATTCTATAAAATGTAAGCGTCTATATATATCACTGCATATATAACTGTTAGACAATGCTGTCAAAATTGATGAAAAGCTGCAACCCTATCTAGTCACTGCGAAGTGCTGCAATATTTATATATAAGCAGCACATAATCAGTAACAAGACGGGCTGTTAACTTGTAAATTTTTAGACAGCAGTAATTTCAGAACCTTAAATGGTAACAAATATCTGAAGAAAATAGAAACTACATGAGAGAAAAGAGAAAGGTGCACTTCCATTTGACCAGTACAACAAGCCCTTATACTCATATACTTAAAATGTTGATAAATCTCCAATTAAAATTTTGTAAAAAATGTAAAATATAATACTAGTAAAACTTTAAAATTTTGATAAAACAGTAAAATACCCCTTTTAAATTTTGATACAACAATAAAATGACCCATTCAAAATTTGGATAGAACAGTAAAACATCCCCAATTAAAATTTTGAAAAAAAACAGTAAAACATCACCAAATAATTTAATTTTGGATGTAACGCGTCTTCTGATTGGCTGACGTTGTTTTGTTTATCAGCTCATAGACATAATTTTGTCATGTGACCGTGACGTCATCAACGTTTTTACATGGTTTATTACGATTTAAAATGGAATTTAGAATTAAATTATAAGAAATGACTGTAATATTTTTCTGTCTATTCGAAATAACATAAAAAATGTGGTGCACACTTTAAAATAACCCGCTACGCGGGTTATTCAGTGTGCACCACATTTTTTATGTTATTTCTTCATAGACAGAAAAAATATTACAGTCATTCCTTAAATAATTTAATTTTGGATGTAACGCGTCTTCAGATTGGCTGACGTTGTTTTGTTTATCAGCTCATAGACATAATTTTGTCATGTGACCGTGACGTCATCAACGTTTTTTCATGGTTTACTCCGGTTAAAAATGGAATTTAGAATTAAATTATAAGAAATGACTACGCGGGTTATTCAGTGTGCACCACATTTTTGATGTTATTTCCTCATAGACAGAAAAAATATTACAGTCATTCCTTAATTAAAATTTATATAAAAAAAGTAAAACAATCCCATTTGAACTTGGAAAAAACAACATATAAAACATAAAAAAACAATAAAATGACCCTTTTAGAATTTTAATAAAAACCGTAAAATACCCTATTGAAAATTTGATGCAACAATAGAATTACTCATTTAAAAATTTGAATAAAACATTCAATTATCCAATTTAAAATTTCGATAAAAACAGTAAACTATACTTCTATAATTCATTGTCTATTCAAATTTTCTTTGTTCTAAATTTCTTATATTTATAAAGTGAAATGACTTTTATATAACGCCATTGCCGAGTTTCAAGTTTATGACATTGCTTTGATATTTTTTTCACTTAAAAGATACAAGCCCAAACGAAAAAATATAAACAAGTCTAAATTGAAAACAACGTTCAAACCTATGATTGCGTTGGATAAAAACGGCAATTTCTATACGTGTGGATTCAAAACAAAAAGGTAGGGCCATTTTCCCGTGAGTTTTTTTCATTTGATTAGCTAGGTAAATCATGTTTTTAAATAGCCCGATAGATACTAATTATAGTATATGAAAACACGTCACATCATCTATTTTCATACCTTGAACAGGTATTCCTACAATAATCAAGGCCAAGACTATTGATTTTTTTTGGTTTATCAAAACCAATATTGATTTTGTTTGTAAATGCCCCTGAGCATTTAAATATGAATTATCAACTAATAGATATTCAAAATTAGTTTTGTATTAAAAAAAATGATGCTTCAGTTAGCGTGTTAATGTTGGTAGGTGATTTGTAGCGTACATGTATTTCACAGCTTTGTTTACTTAAAACTAACAAAATATTAAACAAGAATGTGTCCATAGTACACGGATGCCCCACTATCATTTTCTATGTTCAGTAAACAATAAAATTGGGATAAAAACTGTAACTTAGCATTAAAATGAGAAAGATCATATCATATGGATCATGTCACGGATTCATGTGTACTAAGTTTCAAGTTGGTTGGACTTCCACTTCATCAAAAACTACCTTGACCAAAAACTTTAACCTGAAACGGGACAGACGGACGAACGAACAGACGGACGAACGAAGGGACGGACGGACGGACGGACGGACACACGAACGAACGGACGCACAGACCGAAAAACTGAATGCCCCTAAGTGGCGCCTAAAAAAGGGGGTTAAATATAAATACAAGAAACATTTAATAATCTAATTATCTGATATAAATCAGCTAATCTGATTCAAGATCGGTCTCTGTTTTAATGCCAAGAAGCCAAAAAATATCGGACGCATTTGACTGGGATGTTGTTTTCCTCAATCTGGATGTATCTATATCTATACACTGTTCCAGCTTTTAAGGTTTACCGTCTATATGAACAGGACAACACCTTACACCAGTTGGTACTAGAACGGCTTGCGTAACAAACACATGTAATCTGGTCTTTTCTGGCATTGTAACAAATGGATCGACCCTATATTGTGATACAAATTCAATGCTTATAGTTTCTTGATGTTTTACATACAGTCGCGATTGGTAGTGCAATTGCTTTTTTCTGTGGTGTTGTTTCATTTTCTGATGACTTAGGTTCCGATGTAGGGACGGTGGTACAATGTAACAATGCCAGTACTAGTATCTACACAGTTGGTGGATTGGCGATAAAATTACTGTCTGCATTTGTTACATATCATACCATTTTCTAAAACGTTCTTGTTCAAGATTTAGAAAAAATATTTTTGTTGTTTTGAAATTGTTCTGCTATGGCCTTTTTTCGTTATGTGTATAACACACACAACATTTGGGCTTCATTGCTATATATCAATTCTCGTGTTATTGGTTATGTAAAAGCATCTACTTCAGTGTGACTCTTTGAATTAAACAAACATCCGAAAAAATGTGATAGAAACATAACATTTTAATATTTCAACATAAAAATGAGAAAAATTAGCGTGAGATTTGAACCCCATCTTAAAAACTATCCATTCTTTACAGTTTTAGGCGCTACCGATGGAGCCACGGCGACTCTTGAAAACATATCAGGTAATCGATATTAAGCAGCTATATAGGTAAAATTTAGTGATGTTCCACTTTTTTATCAAAAAAGTTGTTTTTTATGTATTAAGGACACACTAAACCAATTTCATTTTTGAGGGAAAAGTTGTATAAATTACAACAACAACAGTAGTTGGGAAATGAGAGTT